GTCGTCGTTGTCATGATAATTATTATCATCGTTTTTTCGAGTGTGCTTACCGGGTTGTGACCGAATTGTTGTTAGAAATACCGTGTGAAATGGCGGTCAAACGGATGACAAAACAAAACACCAAAAAAAAAAACGCATAAAAAATCGTCAAAGAAATCGAAAAGCAGCAGAAGTCGGAAGCGTCGTTGTGTGTGGACCAAAAAAAAACAATAATATTCAGAGAACGGCGGCGGCGACCTTGTATGAAAAAAAACATATAATAATATATTTAAAAAAAACAAAAAAAAACAACACCATTCGCCCAACGAAACGCGCGTGCGCGTCAAACATATATTATAATAACAGGTGACGGATAACGACCCGTGCGGTTTTTTTTTAAATTTTTTATTTCTGTAGTGCCTAAAAATAATTATATATTTTTTTGCGGTTAGTCATCGACACGACGACGGCCGTCCTTAGCGAATGCGACCGCGTTGTGTTTCAATTCTACCTATTCGTCGTTTTCGGGATATTGTTGGATATTTTTTTAAAAATATTTTATTGTTTCTACACACTTGTCCGTCACCGCTGCCAGCTCTCCCCCGCGGTGGCGCTTTTTTCCCGCGACCGATTCGGTTAGGTTAGCCGGCGCCCGCAGCTTCCGTTATGTTATTATTATTATTATTATATTTATATATTTATATATATATATTGACTCGCCGGGCACCACAATAACCCATTCATGCGAGTACCCGCCGAGCACATACACACATGTGCATTAATAGTATCCGTTTCCATGTGTATAACAGTAAATAATACATGTATGATATACTGGAAAACGGCAGAGTGCACACACAATATAAAGGCGACGGTGTTTTGGCGCGCCTCTTAGATTTTATAGCCCCGGGCGAATAGCGGTAGTTTTTTTTTCTTCAATAACAATATTATTATCATTATGCTATTCCATTCTACAGTGTGTAACCGGGAGAAGAAGAGCATGTTGGGGTGATGTTCGACAATGGACATATTGCCTATATTATTATTATTATTATTATGTTATTCTTCACACCGTCGGAGAGAGAATAGGAGAGGATTTACCGTTGAGACGACATTATGTACTCCTGTAAAAACAATTTTTGGCGCACGGATAGGAAGGGCACATTTTGGGGGTGGCAAACAATATCCCCTTTCCTTAAGAAGTGTTCCTCCTCCTATAATAGGACAGTGGTCAAGTGTAACAAAATATTATAAAGACACGTTTGGCGATTATTATGCCAAGCCGACTCGGCCTAACCGTCATCAGTGCTTGGCTGATAATCATATTGTGACTAAATTCGTATACCGTGTGTCCGGTGTTAAACATTTTTTTTTTTTTACTTAAACATCATAATATACTTATTATTATTGCACAGAGCGCGTGTGTGCAATGCCCAACACGTGTAGGCACAATCATATTATTTCTGTTTATGTATGTGCGTTTGAAGGTTATCGCTTTTGGATTTTCGACATACCCCCCCTTCCCCTACGCCATCGTACGCATTATAATACACAATATATATTAACAATATTGTCGTTATACGTAATACATAAAAAAAAAAAAAAGTACAAGCCCATAACACTAGATTCGATATTGTGTGTGGAAACCGCGGTTGCTTCGTCGGCGGTGGCCGTGGATATGATGAAAAAATAATAAAAACCTACAACCGATGAAATCTGGGCACTTCACAACGCCCAGTCAAGATCATAAGAATAATAATACACGGTTATTACAACGTCAACGCATCCGTGACGGACCAAGGGAAGGGGAAGAGGAAAAATCGCGACCGTAAAGAAAGGAAAAAAACCCATATCTAAGATGCCCGGTTAAGTGTGGGGTATAAGAAAACCACAGGTGTTTGAAAAACTGAATAATAATTTTCCTACAACAATCGTCCCCCCGGGTAACCGCTAATATAGCAGACTTGCCAGCGACCATAAAACAATGCAACAATTTCACTGGGTAATTTGTACACACTAGCGCAGCTCGGTCGAACCGAATTAATAAACACCGCCAAGCAAGAAGAACTATGATAATTAGTTTGCGTCGTTTCCTGTACATTCATTAGTGGGTTTTTATCGTGGTTCTTATTTAATTTGCAATAGCTCTGGACAAAATAATGAAATAAATAAAAATACTGATAAGTTACAACGCCGCTGTTTTGGTCATTAAAATATGGTTAATTGGTTGTGATTATACAGCGCGGTTAGTATTTCCAACATTGCACTAACTAACCAGACCTGTTAACAAGATTTCAGATGTCGCACCAGAGAACGGATGCATCTTAGTGATAATATTATTATGTCAAGCTCTAGGTCAAAATGGTCGTCAACTTGAGCCGCTTATCGATTACCACACCACTGTATGACGTCACATATTAAGTGTGCTGTTGTTGTATTGTACTTCTCTAAGTCGCATGGTCTCTGCAAGCCGAATTGGGCATACCCTCCTATAGTATTATAATATAATTGTGTAATTGTTGGGATCATTAAAAACTGCACCAGACTGTTCTTGGTCGTTGTTATTACATTTATTATTCTGTACGTGTGCGTCCCGCATAGTTATTAGGTATTTTTTTTTTTTACCCACTTGCCATTACTGCGCACTATATATCCCGGATAGCTGGTAGGTGTATTAACTGGAAGTACAGTATATAATATAATAGTGGTAATAATAGTCACGACCACCGCCTTATACGCGCGCCAGTCGTGGTCGCACAGCAGATTAAATCCGAGTATGGAGAAGTTCTCCAAAAGGGGAGGGGAGGGGCTGGGATTTACCGGTCAGACGGCCCCGGTGGTTGTTATAATATATATATTATTTTACGTGTGTTATTATTGCGTTTTAATTTTCCTCTCGGGGGGGGGGGGGATAATATTTCTTGAGAACCTTCTCGGGGAGGAGAAGAGAAGAAGAAGACGCAAAATCGACAACAAGTGAAACTGGTTATTGTGGTGCGGCATAACGAGTTTTGTACATTAATGTGTTCTATGTATACAGGAACTACCTATATACGACGATAGCGTTCCTTAGTCGGGGGACAAGGTAAGAAAAAAAAAATAAGAATGCGTTCCAAGGGTTGAAAATACCCGCGTAGAGAGGGTTGTGCGCGCGTACACAACACCTGCTCTGTACCTAATAATATTATTGTTACTCGACTGGAATAGGAGATGGTTACCGTGTCGGCATTTTTTAACTCGAGACGAACCCGTGTGGGTATTGAAATCCTTTCTTAGAATCCCGTACAAGAAGACGTTCCTCCCGCCGTCTCGTCCACTGTATCGCCGGCCTGTTGTGTAATGCGCTTATACTGCTGCACACAGGGGATCCGTGTGTATCTTTTTACGACCGTTTTTTTGTCCTATTCTGAAACCCACACGGGGTAGATTATATGCTACCGTCGTCCTATGCCAGAAAAATAAAAAGAATGGTCAAACATTAGTCACGGTTATGCACGGATAATAACGGGGATGTTCTCTCGGACGAATCGAAAATTAGTTTTTAACCCTTTTAGAGAAACGAGTATGATGAGAGCAGCGGTGTCTATAGGACGGCGTGTGCACCAGCTATCTGGCAACATTGTGATCACACATTTTTTTTTTATTACCACGGTACAATAATAGCAAACTTGTAGTGTTTTGCAATGTTGCTAGAGATCCTTCAGAGTCTCGGTTGGCTCGATCAGTCGTTGCCTTTAGTTTGTTATGTTATGTTATGTATATTTTTACAACGCTTAGTTTATGCAAGTTGGACGTGTGTCCGGTTGTAGCTGACCAATTTTGTTTGTGACGAGGCGGCGATGATTTAGCCTTGTTTTTGTATACACAACTGGAATTCCATTGTGCAAGAAAAATTAATTTTACCGTCCTGGCGATCCGCTTAAATGGGTTTAATTAAGGCTATGAGTACAAAAGTGGCCTAACCCACAAATTAAAATTAATAAGTTAATAAAATTAACCAACTTAATAAATTAAAAATAACTTAAAAACAACTAATAATTTGTTGTATACATATATTTATTATTAAATTAACAAATTTTATAAATAAATAAAATAAAAAGTTTTAAAATTATTTTTAATTTATTAAGTTGTTTAATTGTGTTAACTAATTAATATTTATTAATGGGTTAGGCCACTTTTGCACGTTCAAGTTGGATCGCGTTGACTAAAACAACTTAACAAAACCAAAAAATTTATTATCGTTAAGACTTTTTATAATTATATTATATTATTCAGGGCCGTGGTATGGGGAGGGATGATAACGGGGCAAGGGCCACACATTTTAGGGGTGCCAAAAAAATATAAATATATTATGATCGCCATAGGGTATTGATGACGCAGCATTGATATTATTGCTATTATTGATAGTGATTACCAACACGGCAATGATATTATTTTTATGGTCGTTTGATGATATGTCTGTGGCGTAGAATAGAAACGGGCTATGGTTACTATTATTGTTATTTGTACTGGAAAACGCGTTAGTCCGAACGGTGGCTGCGGCAAAATAGAAAACGCGCAACAAAAAAACCGGCGCGGCGTCGGTTCGAAAAGTATAATAATATTGAAAAAGGATAGTGTTGGGTTGCGCGCGTACTCGCGGAGAGAGTACTTTCACTCGTGGAGAGGGAGAGAAAAAAAATGAAAAACCGCGCGGTCGTCGGCCGTCGCGCGCGCGTTCGTAATATTGCGTAAGAACCGGAGCGTTTTTTTTTCCCATACGTTTTATTCGTGCCGCGTGGCGCGTAAGCTCCGCCGCAAACGCGAAAGGCCCGTCGGCCGTGTTTGGTGGGGGCGGCGGCGGCGGTAGTCGACCGCCGTATACTGTCTCGGTGGTAGTAGTAGTGCGGGGGGGGGGATCGTTGGCCCTGAACTTATCCCCACTAGCGGTCGCCGCCGGCACACCGCGCGGCGGCGCTCGCGTGCTCGGTGTTGATATCGGAGGCCAATGCCGCCGCCGCCACTACTACTACCGCCGCCGCTGCTGTTGTCCGTCCGGCGGACGTCGCACTCTCTCTTACCTGCCGCCCGGCCGCCAGTTCAAGTTCACCGTTCCGGCAGTCTCATCCCGCCACACGCGTTCAAGTCTCTCCTCGACCGGCCAGTGTGCGATTATTGTGGTGTGCTAAACCGTGTACTGTTTTTTTAGTGTTTTTATGCGTTTTTTACCGTAGTGCAGTGTTTTCCGTCTTGGACCCGCCTGTTGTTGTTGATTTTTTCCTAGGTAAAACGTCCACGATATTATTGTTAACTAACAACCATTTAGCAGTACTTTTGACCGGACTCGCCTACTACACACACCGTCGTCTAACATAATAAATCTTACTTTGCAATCTGTCTAATCGACCCCCTTAGGAGGGGTGGGGGGTAGTGAAGAATTGGATACATTCGAACAAGGTACACATCCAATTAAAACTGTGTTTACACGGTTAATCTTATTATAATAGACCTCTGCGGTTTCAAACGCGCATTAAACGGGTTTTTATTTTCCGTCTAAATGTCAAAGATGCTAATTCATAGTGTGACATTTAGTGTGTGTTTATAGACTGTTTTTGAGCTTCTACGCGATGTGAGGGTTGTGTAACTTGTTTCCCGATGATAATTTTAAACTATTTTAGAGTATTATTATTATGTTCGATAGGGCGCGTTAACCTCGTGGACACCCGCATTGGCTAGCCCAAAGCAACGATGCGGTTCATGTTGTGCTTTTTTTCTGCATTAGCTCCTCTCCGAAAATGTGTGTTTATCTATCTTGGTTCTCATGCGAGGTGCACAATTTCAACATGGATATGGTGTAGTATTGTTCACTTACAATTCCACATAGTGTTATTATTATTGTTATCGCGTTCGGAATGTCGTTTTTAATGGATTTTTTTTTAATTTTTCGGCCAAACCCGCCACCATAATATAAATATATGACACACAGAGACCAACAAGAAACATGACAATATTTGTAAATGTTAACGACCTTTATAATACTTAATATGTTTTACGGATAAACAAAAACCGCTTAGCCTAATGGGTTCGTGAAAAATTAAAATTGTACTTTAAAAAAAAAAGTAGCTCTCATAAGTTGCTGCACCGATTCGGTGTATATTTTTTATACATCAAGCAGTATGATCGAAAACGCGTTTCTAATTTATATTACAATAATGTATCGTGTATATATATATATAAATATACTTTTTTTTTCGTGTAAGACCGCGGGAGGAACACGGGGATAATAGTGATAATTATCTTGACATCTGCATAATATAATATGGTGTAATGAAAAAAACTTTAAAAAAAAAAATACATATAAATAATAAACCCTAGCCGATGGATTGGTGATGGAGCACAAAAGGTTCCATTGTGTCCGCCTATGACGTCGGGTTATTATTATTAAATCGCTGCCGGTAATAATAACAATAACAGAGACGGGCATGACGTATATGATATTTTATAGAAAACCGATTGGAAGAAATAACAAAACCAAATTATTGTAAATAATTGTTATTTTCAGCGCGGCTGCGGTCCCTTCGAACATAATAATAATAGGTAGTTAAATCATATATTGTAAGTGGCCATTTTAGTACTCTAAATTTTGAACTTGGAAAAGAAAATAATACACTTTTCTCACTCATTGAAAAGAAAATAATCTAATAATAGTATAAAAAACATCATCAGACAGGCTTGGACGGTTTGTGTAGTCGACGGTGTCCGCGTACACAACGTGTGGCGTGCGTTTGTACTGAGAGAGCCGTGCTTTTACAGAACTCGACCGCTCGACAGTGTGTGGTCGCGTCTTCAAATGTGATCCTCTCTGGTTGCGCGGGACGAAATGTTGAGATTAGCGTCCCAAAACGACGGGGCCATGACGTCGTCGTCCGAGGTGACGTCGTCGTCGTCGGCCGCCGCGGCGGCTGCGGCGGGCTTTTCCGCCACCAGCATGTTCATCAACGCGTTTTTCAACACCAACAGCAGCCCCATGACCCGCGAGAGCATCGAATTCCTGCAGGAGCTCGACGACAGCTTCGGCGAGCCGCCTTACCATCACCACCACCAACATCACCATTACAACAACACCGCCGGTTCTCAGCCCCATCATCATCATCAGTTCCACGACGTCAACCGATTCATGGCGCACGCTACTGTGCCCATGGTAACAGGTATATTTTGTCGGGCAGAGATCATCTCCTTATCTCTTCTCCATCTTGTTAATAATAGTCTGTGCTTACACTACTTAAGTATGACCGGCTTAAGTATCAAACCTTAAGTATTCAGAGCAACTTAAATTGTGTCTTAATGTGCGATAATGCATCCGTATTTATGTTTGCGTTATGCGCAGTTGTGATTACACCATATGGCGGCTGTCACAGGACCGGTCCTAGGTCGTCGACGCCTACGCGAATGGCCCACAGACACAATAACCGAAACAACGACGACGATACACTAATATTACAATGTGTGCACGACGAGGAGAGACCGTGTTTATGTTATTTCACCGGCAGTGCTATGACCGTCTCTTGTATTTTATTTCGTTTATTATTATTATTATATCAAGGATGCCGGAACGCAGTGATCCTGTGTGTTATATATATAGGCGGCGATCATTTAATACTGCCCGGTTGTGTGCAGCTGACATGCACGCGAGATAACACTTAAAAAACAAATACATTTATTTTTTGCTCGACCGATCAGCTATAAACCGTTGTCGATCAAAACCCAAACCGTGTCAGGCCTTTTAAACGCGAATAGGGTAATTTCGAATATCCATTTGCTGCGTCACTTAGAAAAAAAATTATATTTATTGGTATTTTTGCCTCGAACCGTCGTTTGTGCGGTCGTTAACTTTAGACGTGTACGAAAATTATGATATAAAACTCGACTTAACCAACCTCTCAACCCGCCGGCCAAATCAAATTATCATTTTCTATGTACACAAGTTTTCGCGATACCTACCGTTTAGAAGAGTTTCGTTGAAGTTTACAATAACCGGCATTCGTGTCTTTCCGGCGGCTTTTACCTTATTAAGTTAGTGCTATATACCTTTTTCCCCTTTACCGTCGGCCTATACCGGTAAGTCCTGTATTATATAGAAGTTTGTCATTAATTAATAATGCTCTTGTTTCCAACTACCACCGCGTGGTGTAACGTAGGTGGACATATCGTACATCATATTAATATATCATAACCCGGGATGGTCGCTAACGATAACTAACATAGATTTCTTGGGTGTATGATATTAAGCGGCCTCCGTGTGTCAACGACTGCGGTGGCGTCAGGTCTTGTAAGGAGGTTATTGAGCGGCTAATAAAATATATACTATCGGACAGTGGTTGTCCGGTGAAATTAGTTATGGTATTTTAATTATTATTGTTTTTTTTTCTGATAGACCCACAGAATTGTCTCGGAGCCACCATAACCGGTTGTGTGCCGTCCGGATGACTCATTCGGTTTGGTAAGGCGCCAAAATTATTTCTCAACACGTTCGCGCGCCACTTCCTTCCGCCAATATATTGTATTTTATAACACACACACCGTTATGTATTTTCGATCGGTCACGATCACTTCCGACCAGCAGAATCGACGGATATAGAATAAATGTGTGATTATTATTGCGAGTGTGTCATCATCCGGTTGGATTGTTTTGTAAAAATACAAAAAAAAAAAAATCCAATAACAATTATATTAATATTATTACAACCGAATAACAGATATTATGACCGTGGGTCGCGTTCAAGTCAAACAGTAGTCGCCCACGTTATTTGTATAGCTGTTGATCATCGCCGCCGGCCTGTATTTTTATAATAGACCGCCGTATATATGTATAACTACGTCGTTGAGTTATTTTTTGTTTTCACCGCGCTGAACGCTTTAAAGGTCGAAAGTCACATTATTATTATTATTATTACATCACGTCCCTCGCCAATATTAATCTCACAATTAATAGCGTTAATACAGTAGGAACAACGCAATATCCGTTTGTGTCGTTGCCACCTATACAGTGTGCTGCGAATCGATACACCCTGTGTGTGGACTTGACATTGAAGAATAATCGGTTGCATACCCACGCGATTGATTTTCTTCTACTTCTATTGCGAGGGTTGTTAATTATTATTGTTTTTTTTATTATTTCTCGAAACACACACACACAGTTGGTCGTTTCGTCGGTTTACGACGACTCTTATAAGGTGGTTCTCGCAAACCGCAAATCGACAATTATGCTCTGGCGCAGCAGCAGTTCACCTGACCGTGGCGGCACACAACACAACACAGCCATAATACTATATACTATAATAGGTACACGCATACGTTGTAATATTATTATAATAATAATAATAATAATAATAATGTTATAATATAATATATATATAGAGGAATGAACCTTGGGCACCAGAACACCGCACACGTGTGCCGCCGACGTGGGCGCTGCCTGCTGCCAACGCCGACCGTCGTGTCCGCCGTCTCGTGCACGATAAATAAACTTTGGTTAATTAACGGTAATCGTGCTTAGATCCGATCGACCACATAGCTTTTTTTTATACTTTACAAGATGTCACACCAAATTTCATTGCCGTTTTCCATTTTCATCGTGGTTTTTCTTCTTCAATTCTGGGTTTTTTTTTCTATATTCAAAGCCCTCCCCTTCCCCCATGACCTTCACGGGCTGTGATTTCTTCTTTTTTTATTCTGCTGCCTTCTCCGCGTTCCGCTCGTCGACCACTGCGCCTGCCCTCACTCTCTCTGCCACGGCCGCCGTGCCGTTTATTATAATTATAATGATATGCATAATGATCGGCGACCTTAGCGAGGAAAATAGTGTGGAAATTGCCAGAACCCAGCTCTAAACCCGGTGGACTAAGTTTGTTGTTCTTGTTCTCAGGTACAGCTGGGCGGTCCTGTAGGGGATGGTATATTTTTTTATCATTTTTATCCCGGCTCTGGCGTCGACGAACCGATTGGACCGTGGAAAATTCTCCGTGTCTAGCTGGCCAATTGTTATTAAAAAAAACATTTCGCGTACACACACACACACACTATACACATACATTATTACAGCTTTTCAATTGTATTCGGCCCCGACATACACAATGCCCGTTCCGTCGTTAACCGGTTTTAGTTCCTAGAATTATCTTCTTCTTCTTCCTCTCCTCCTACTCCTCCTCGGCATCGCTCCAGTCATACAGCTTAAAATGTTATATTGTACAGTATTACATTCGCTGCTGTAATACCGTGGTGTTGTATATAATGGCGCTGTTATTTTGTTCCTGTGGCGTTGAGAGACGGGCAACAATGGATTGCCGAATTCTATATTATTGAGTTTTGGGCAGGAGAAAATGTGTGACGTTGTTTGTATTATATTGTAATCAACAAGAGTGGCGAAAAATAACCAAGATATTACTCATGGCCGCCTCGGACCCCAAACGGCTGACTATACAAGATTAGTGCGTTTGGCCAACTACGCCATTCGGGCTTTTTTAAGTTGAATAGGTTATATTTGTGTGTGTGTTGCAATAATTTGTCGCAAATAATTATTTCCACCGTCTAGTTGTGTAATGGACTTTTTTTTATGAACTTATTGCGTCTTAAAAGAATAACCTTTATAATATTTTATATGCTACACAACATCTGCCGGCCGTCTCCCCCCACTTCCTTTCACTCTCTCTCGGTCGGACCACGCGCCATTGTATATGTATACATATATGGCCGTGGTAATGTTTAGGAATGCCAATAAATCTGTCGCTCGTAATTCTTTTCTTTTATGTGCGTTATATATAATACAATTCGTCTGTGGTCATATGTGTGTGTGTGAATGTCTATAATTGAACGATATATTTTTAGTCGGGGTGAGAGCGAGCGTTTTTTTTTATTATGTAAATGTGTCTACGTGTGTGTGTGTTGTGCTGCACAACAAACGGAGAGAACACTCACAAGAGATTCTGTGTTGGGTTAGGTCAAGGGGAAAAAATGTTAGCCGGCATTTCTTACACAGACAGACGCACGCACAAACACAAACAGCACACACACGTGAACGATTAATTTATCTTACGTTTGTGGTTTTTTTTTCTTATAATTATTTATTATATTATGTCCGATCAGACGTTTGTTGGTTGTCGGCCGGCCGCCCGTGTTAAGTGCGTTCATATATAAATTATATTTTTTATTTAAGAACTTCCAGCGTTTTGTCCGCAAGACGGCGGCGACCACATTGCGGAACGCTGGGCGGACGTCCTTGGATGTTCGATTATTATTATTATTTTTTTTAACGCGTTCCCCGAGTGATTTTCTTCGAAATAATAATAGCAAAAAAAAAAAATAAACTCGTCCGTACAATGTAAAATAATTGTCCTGGTATATTTTCCGCGCGGCGGCGTGTGGTGTAGGTAATAATTTATTTACGTTCCACCGACGCGATTATGTATGTATATATAATACCGAGATATGCGCGGTAAGCGGAGAAGAAGAAGAGTCCCTAGAAAAATTCAGTGGCCCCATCCGACGCGAATTACAATAATAATTTGTCTAAGACATCACCGGGCGCGCCTTAACGACCGACGTTGTCGTGCGCTTATTAATTAATTAATAATTACCGAGTTGTGGTCATCGGTAGTAGTGTATAATGTGTGTGTATATATATATATATATATGAAAAATTACACTTGACAACAACAACGGCAGATGGTATATAAACGGGGTGCGGCGAGGTCTTCAATCTCTGCGCGGTTAAAAAACCAAAATATTATTATCGAAGGCGAAAACGTGATGGCGGTGGCCCGCGTGCGCGCACCTTCTCCTCAAGGTCGCGCCGGTGTTCGCTTGGCCCCGTTTCTTTGAAAACAGGTTTTTTCGGGTTGTGTTTACTTCCTGTGCGCCGCCCGGGAGTCCGTTTCCCCTTTTGGCCACACACTTGATATCTGGTAAATAATATCTGTTTTTGTTTGTTTTGTTTACAGTCAAAGAAGAGCTGTCCCCTCCCAACAGCCTGTCCGGCGGCAGCAGTCACTCCGAAGGGCTGAAAAAGAAGAAAATCAGCAACAACCCCATCAGCAGCAGCGCCGGCGGCAACAATGGCGGTAACGGAGGAGGAGGAACCGGTGTCGGTATGAATGCCGGCGGCGGAGTGCTCAACAACCGACCGCCCGAAGAACTTTGCCTGGTGTGCGGCGACCGGTCGTCCGGGTACCATTACAACGCGCTCACCTGCGAAGGATGCAAAGGCTTCTTCCGGCGGAGCATCACCAAAAACGCCGTGTACCAGTGCAAGTACGGCAACAACTGCGAGATCGACATGTACATGAGGCGCAAGTGCCAGGAATGTCGGCTGAAAAAATGCCTGACCGTCGGCATGAGGCCCGAATGTAAGTCCAACGGTTAAATTTATTTCATTACATCCTTACTATCTCGAACCGGTTTCGCTTAGCACGACCAGGAGACGCACTGCTCGTTTGATATAATAAAACCGAAACTCGAAAGGACAATAATAATAATAATATAATGACCGAAAATTAAAGGGAAAATTGACTTTTTTTTTACCCCAGTAAACCTTAAGAACCTTAAACACAATTTTATAGTGCACCCCCCCCCCCCCCAATGGGATTATGGACGGACACGAGGTTTTTACACGTTTTCTTCAAAGCCAGAATTTGATTTTCAAGCGCTTTTTATCGACCCAGAGGGCTATAACGCGCTGCAGGTGCATGACTATATTATATTATTCACCGCCCACACCGGCTGTTCCTTTGATATAATCTAGTTGTTGGAATAATAATAAAATGGTTCATGTACACGGTGGTTATTTCCACACCTCGGGTCATTGAATTTATGTACTTATGTTACAAAATGTTGGCATATTTAGCTAGCTAGGCTGATCACTAATCTTTTATTTTTTGTCCCGGTAATTAAATTTCAAAACAAAAGACTTTATACTACTGTTGTGTTATTATCGAGTGGCATAAATACTATACAGACGTTTTTAACATCTGACAATCTGATGATGTACTTGGTGTGTAGGGCTAATATTGGGTATCAAATTTCGCCAAGTATTTTATAACGGGGGTTAGTAAGTATACAGTAGATTGTTTTTCTTTAGGTTTTGGCACGCGATTCGCACGTTACGATTGACCCCCGCTAGGTAATTTCAGTTTTGGGCTCTACTGTAAAGTGGTGTGTGGGTTATTATTAATGTTTGCACGTGGCGTTCGGTGACCCCTATACAGTAGACTTTACCGGCCTTGGGATAATGATATGCGAATGAATGTATGTATAATGTACTGTTTATACAATTTTTGGAAACCGTCGTGTAGCGCGTGCAAACTTCTATTATATTATTATTGTTTCCAATTGAGAAGTTAACAAATGGCCGCGCCAGAAAATCGAACTTGACCACGGTGGCACACACACTAAGCGCGAACGACCTTGACCGATGTTAACGCCGCCTTTTTTCGGTTTTTGATATTATTTTGATGGCGTTGCCAAGCTTTTTCTGTGGTGCGTCGACCTTTATTCGCCACCATTACTTTTAATATTATTATTATTACTATACGATCGATGTGTAAAATGTGTGTGTGTATGGATTTTGTATGTGGGCAAATAATAGATAATAAATGACAAAACGCCTTGGGAGCGGAAAACTGCGTATTTACTCCTGTCGACGCGTGCCCGATTAATTTGGCTTAAAATATTATGAGAGAGTGTGTGGTGATAATACAACGGCGGTGGCAAGGCCTCTCCTGTCAAGGACCTCTCAGAAGGTCTACCGTTGATTTTCGCCGTAACAATATTATTTATTATTATATCCTTTTCCGTGTGATTTACAAAGGAAACTTTTAACGTGTACAATAGCAGCACAACGGCCGAATAAAATATCGCCGTATAATATATGTATATATATATATATTATACGGCGATATTTTATATATATATATATATATACATATATTATACGGCGATATTTTATATATATATAAATATATATACTGTGTGTGTTGTATTGCGTTGTCTATCCGACATGATCCCGTGCCGGTAGATAAAGAAAACCGATGAGTTATGTATGCATCTTTACTTGTCTTCGGAGAATTGAGACTATATTGTTGTTGCGCCTGTGTTCGCGTTATGTTTGGCGGTTTTCAGCGTTTAATTATTACTTGCCGATATTCACAATAATTATTAATAATAGCGAAGTAGTTTTAATGTGATGCGCACAAACAGTGGGACTTGTGTCAAGCCGCCTAGTTTGAAGAATTAAAATAATACCGTCCAATATGTCTTGGTGATAAGATATCAACGATAACAGTATGTATCTTGAAAAAAATATTTTATGATAAGGGTACCAATCGCCTAACAATGTAGAATTTTTTTTTCTTTTGTGTGATCATACTGGTTTTAGTCCTACTGGAGTGATTTTTTCGATTTCGTATATTGGTGGTGGGCAATGTTATTGTTTTTTTTCTTCTATAAATTAAGTTTAAGTGAAAATATATTATTATAAAACTTGTCCAAGAGTTTCATACAATGTGACGTGTTTGTTAATCCTGTTGGCGTTTGAGCCACAGGTTTATAAATAAGAAAACTTTAAAACTTTTCGGATTAATCGAGTTCTCGAAAGTTTTTGGCGGATTGGTTTCAGAATTTTTGTTTATAATATTATGAACAGCTATGGTCGCGCGCTATACCCGGAATTCACTGCGCTGTGATTTTAATAAGAAGCAATAATTCTTGATCGAAACGAATTATTTTAAAACAATAACGCGTATAGTTTTGTAACAATAGAAAAATGTGTATAATAGGGTATATGTTGTGTGTGGTGCCGCCTATAATATAAAAATCTTTAAACCATTACGAAACCACCCGCCTTGGGTGTAGGTAAACGATAATGGAACGAAAATATTTTCTTAACTTTATGTCTTTTCAATTACAATTAATTCTACGATAACCATTATCGGGTATTGCGTTGTTGTTTTTTTAAACAAATTTACTCATCAATAAAAACTCAACCAGTATTATCTACCAGTGTACCGACTTATTCAACCATAGATTTACCTTGACGGCGGCCATCTTATGCGCATTTACCCTATACGGTCACAGAGAGAGTCAACGACCGTGTCGGTGGCGTCATTACCAAAAAAAAATAATAAAGGCGCAGTTCTTGACGTTATAATGTGTCATTGGTTTTTCCCAAGTATATATTTAGCAGTCGATCCGGTAGTACAGAAGAAAGAATTTCGGCGGTGACAGTTTTAGAATAATTATGATGTATTATAATATAAATGACCAGAGTTGGTTTTCAATGGCGGCAACGACCGACCTCGAAAGCTCTGTCATATAAGTTTTTTTGACGTCTAGCAAGGAAGAAGAGTGATCTAGGTCGTCTCCACACTTCATTGGTAGCAGCAAAAAGTTTCTTTTAAAAAAATATTAATATATTAATTCTACTACCCATGTCAGAAACCGTGTATGTTACACGATTCCTAATGATTCAATACGTTTTTCTTCATCAAAAACAATTAGTATTATTCAGTCTTATAATACAGCTATATAATTGTGCGCGATTGGTCAAGGTCCATATTGTGTTATTATTTAATGAGCAATACATTCTTGTAGAATAATGTAAATATTAATTATTGAATAAATCTCTGTTGGTCGTGTTATAAATACTACATCATACGGTCAGGTGAAATAGTTCAGACTTTAACAATGATCCGTTTAACCTTTCTTGATTTTTTTCTAGATATTGTTATTTGGGTATATACTTATATTAAACTTGATGGAATATTTTCAATAGTGGCCAAACAGCAACTTCACTTATTATCCATATTATATATTGTGTTTTCGTGCACCGTTCTGCTTTATGACCTTTGGCAAAATATTGTATTAGTAGCTTTGTATTTGCCTATTTTATTAATAAAAAGCTCATACATTATTAACATAATGATGACATTTGGAGAGTGTAAACTGTTTTTATAATATTGCAACTTTTTTTTTTTTTTTGTAGGTGTTGTACCAGAAGTCCAATGTGCCGTAAAAAGAAAGGAGAAAAAAGCTCAGAGAGAAAAAGACAAGCCTAATTCTACCACTGACGTTTCTCCAGAATGTATCAAAATAGAACCTACAGAGATGAAGGTGAGAAAATATAACAATATAATAAAAAATTAATCAGCTGCGTATATTTTTTAGACATTAACAATGTTGTGTTGTAATTTCAGATTGAATGTGGCGAACCGATGGTGATTGGAGCGCCTATGACGCCTATTCCTTATCCTGAGGTGAAGCCGTTGAGTTCCGAACAAAAAGAACTAATTCACCGACTCGTCTATTTCCAGGACCAGTACGAGGCTCCAAGTGAAAAGGACCTAAAACGATTGTCGATAAATGTAACTTATTGTTCTAAATAAATAACTAGGTACATGTATTGTTTCAGTTGAAATTGTAATAAAATTGTTGTTCTTGTTTCATTTAGAATGCCGAAGAATTAGACGAAGAGAAGCAAAGCGACTCGACGTATAGGATAATCACTGAAATGACTATACTCACTGTCCAATTGATTGTCGAGTTTGCAAAACGGTTACCAGGATTTGACAAACTTGTCAGAGAAGATCAAATTACTTTACTCAAAGTAATTGATAATTATTATTCATATTAATTATTATCGAGTTAGATGCAATAATGCTTCTTCCCAAACCTCTGATTTATCTGCCATTGATGATAAAACATCAAAATATATTAGTCCTATTAATTAAATGCATTTTTATAATTTTTTTTTATTTTTTATTAGGCTTGCTCAAGTGAAGCGATGATGTTCAGGGTTGCTAGGAAATATGATATTACCACGGACTCCATAGTGTTTGCCAACAACCAGCCATTTACAGCCGACACATATTTGAAGGCTGGTCTGGGCGATGCTGTGGAAAATCAGTTGTCGTTCAGTCGGTTTATGTACAAAATGAAAGTGGACAACGCTGAATACGCCCTTCTGACGGCCATTGTAATATTTTCAAGTGAGTCCTACTCCGTTGCATACCGTATTTGAACTAGTAGTAATTATCTGTCAACTACGATTCTAACCCGTATTTTCCAAAATTGCAGATAGGCCGAATCTCTTGGACGGATGGAAAGTAGAAAAAATACAAGAGATCTACCTGGAGTCTTTGAAGGCGTACGTGGACAATCGCGACCGCGAAACAGCCACTGTCCGGTATGCACGGCTACTATCGGTTCTCACCGAGCTGCGTACGTTGGGCAATGAAAACTCCGAGTTGTGCATGACGCTAAAACTCAAAAACAGAGTCGTGCCCCCATTCTTGGCCGAAATATGGGACGTCATGCCATAATGAAATGCTGCAGCTAGTAGTTACCTTGTACCCGGCCGTGCAATGTATGCATGTTACCTGGTGATTAATTTGAAGACTGTGTAAACATTATATTCGGTCATTCAAGCGTCCAGTTATCATCACGACAGACACGGAAAAGCTTAGAGTTCTGATTATTCAACCGATAAAAATCGTATTGTTTTTTGGAAGACTATTGATATTTTAAATTTTATTGATTTAATTAAAAATAAAAAGTGCAAAACGAAGAAACCTTCTTGCATGTCAAATAACAATATTGTTTGTATGTTAGTTGTAAGCGTGCTTAAATATAAGATTATAATATATTGATCGTTGAGTGTCGAAAGGAAAGTTTTGCGATTGTTGTTAAACACAAGGATGATGGATGATGGACAATTATTAAAGCACTCCCTTTTCTTGTTTTTTTTTTTTTTTTTTGTAGTTATTATAATCACAATTATATAACTCGTTTGAACACGGACTATGTTAAACATTTCAAAGAACTTTCTTTATAATAACGCTCTACGAGAATCGGGGGGGTTGCTACGTTATTATTTTCGTTATCCTCATGTGGTTTTTGAGACTGTACCATTTTGTACCTGCGTGTTGGAGGTTTTTTTTTATATATAAAAATGTTTATTAATAAGCAAATTAATTTTATTATTAACAAATTTATATACACCCTTATAATATATATTTTTTTCTATGAAATGTAAGAAACATCATTTCTATTTGCAAAAGCTGTGATATTAGTTTATATTTTATTATGTATATTATAAGATAAATATTGTGTATACTAACAGCATCTTTTAGATATTAAACATATAGGCGTTTTATGTTAAACGTGTACAAATATAGGTTCAGGGCTTTAGTTAATAAAGTGGCACTTTTTTTTTTGTAAATAGTATATTAGTTTTTTTTTTTATTACTTAAAATTGTTATGCTTTCAAAACCTAAATATTAAATTCTGTTAATGGAAAGTATTTTGTAGCAAGTGTTAATTAATTAATAACAATTAGCAATGGTTATACATACATATATATATATATATATATAAATCAAATTTCTTTGACAAATGTTCTGAAGTAAAAAAAAAAAAGACAAAACAAAATTTACAAATAGAATAATCTACCTACTATAAATAAATTACGCGTGTATTGAGATGAAGACTGTAAACATCAACGTTTAAATATTTATATTATTATTTTTTTTTTTTTTTTTAGACCAATTGCCTTCTATAATTACTTTACTATCTATTTTTGGCGATCAATAAGTAGTACACAATAATAATAATTCATAAATATTATTAAATGTTTTTTTTTTTTTTTTTGACAATGACAATATAATGTTTGTTGTTAAGACATTTTTTTTTTTGTCAAAAGTTGAACTATTGTTAATTTTTTCTGTTTGAATTAACTTATACTAGTGTGCAATACGTTTTTCAATTTTCATTATTAAATAATTAATCGTTTAGAAGTTCATTACAGCGAGGAAAAGGTATAAAGCAATTTCATCTCGTCGTTGGTCGTGCACCGATTGATTTTCCGTGGGACTCGTGTGTAATTATTGGTTCTTACTTACAATTATTATTCCGTTGATGGAATAATTAAGTATTGTAGTTTTATAGACTATACTAGTTGTTTTTCATAGTACACAACATAAATATTATCAAATAATATCTCATCAGCCCCTTTATATATATATATATTATATATACACACATGCTTTTGAAATAAAAAAACATCTTTCAATCGTACACTAAAATAATTTAGGATTTACAACATCAACAACAATATTATTTTATATTATATTTTTCTTCCTTATTATAATTTTTTTTTTTTTTGTCCGAGTACGTTAAAATGTTATTTTCAGTCTTTTTTCTTCTTCTTTTGATAATTAATTCCTTATGTTGTTCTATTTTTTTTTTAAATTTATTAAATTTTGTTATAAAGCTCTTTACCAAGTGATTTGATTTGGAATTCCTTGTCCGAATTTAGGATTTTGTCGGGGGGAATTATTATTATTTAAAAAAATACGAAATGATGTTTTTTACATTCTACTTATTAGGTTGATGTCCATAGGAATGGTTTTTTTTTTTTTTATTAAAGAACACACAAAAACAGCCGCCCACTCGTCAGTTTTAATACTACAATTATTATTATTATTATTAAACTATTGTGTACATTTTATGAATACGTGCAAATGTTAACTCTTAGGAAATTTGAATATATATATATTGTAATAAAAATTATTTTGTAAAGAAATCGATAGAAATTACCATTGAAAAATGATCTTGTTCTTTTTATAGATTTAAGAATGTGTAATGTTATTAAAAAAAAAAAAAAAAAAATGTTTTTGACCATAGAAAATATAAGTATCCAATGTTAATAATGACTATATTATATTTGTTACTTACGTCACTCCTTGCGAAAAAATATTTAATACCATTATGTTGATCCGCATAATATTATAGTATGTTTATAGTTTATGTATAATACAATTTGTTACCTATTATTAATATATTATATTATGTATAAGGTTACAATTACATTAGAGGAATATTTAGTGAAAGATCAATTTATTTTTCTTCGATTAGACCGTTATACGATTTTATTGGTTACCGATAATACCTCTATAAAAATATGTAAAACATTAAGCACTTACACAATATTTATGATAAGTCGTCAACATAGAATCAATTTTTATATGAGCCTCAGCTTACCTCATATTAATAATGCTATTATTAGGTTATTGTAGCTACAGTTTTTAGTCAGATTCGGTATTAAATTTACGTATGCTCGCCAACAGAGAGAGTTCCGGGTTGTTTATGATTCATTTCAAAACATACCTCAGCAGATTTAATTAAAAACAGATTTACTCTTGACTAGATATTTTTTAATAAATTAGGAATATAAGCAAATTCAAATTGTTGTTTTCTAAACAAATCGGGTTCGGTACGATCCCACACGCTGCCGAAATTTGTATTCGTATTTTTTACTGTTTTGTACGAGAAAAAAAATAGTACAAGTGTAGGTTTATAAAATTACGGTAAATACGATGAATAACTTTTTTTATAAGTAAAACTATTATCAAATATATATAGAGGTATGTGATATAAAAACAAATTACACATAAATAAAAATAATTTTTACTAAACAGAAAACGACTGGATTTGAGATTCTTTAGTTAGCTTCGTTTTTTGATAATATTTTTATAACGGTTATAATAATACTATAACGATGATAACAATTATATTAATACTGGACAGAGACGCTTGATGCTACAACGTTGTACAATAAGACATTTTGTATTATGCAATTAATTAATACACAAATATGTATTTTACATTTTTTTGTAGATTGTATTAAAAAAAAAAAAGGAAATGTGGTTTTAGAGAAAAATCAAAACATTACTGTAACAAAACCGAACGCTCTACATCGTTAAGTTTTTTATGTATTGTTAAAAAAAAACGAGTAATTAAAGGTGTATTAAATATTTAAAGTTGTAATATATGATTTTAATAATAAATCAGTAACACCGTAAAGAGTGCGGTCGATGCCGTAACGTTACATAAAGCCATAGAGACTGTCGGAAACAACCAAAATGCATGCCGTTATTGTGTACGATAGAGATGAAATATTTATTAGTAATTCTTAGAGATGAAAAATGTTTTATTTTTCCCACTGATTGTTATTGTAGTGAATATACATATAATATATATATATATATATTATTCATTTTTGTTTTTTTAAGTGGATGTTAGTTGAAATTTTAAAACGATGTGTGGCCAAATGGTCGATTTTGTTTTTATATAATAGTTATCGAAATATAATAATGTATTCAAATATTATGTGCGTTTCAACATCTACATGATATATGTAATTATATTGAATTATATTATAATGCGAATAATAAAAAAGAACATGCGTTACTAAGTAACGTTTAATACCTACCTATTATTTGTGGCAGTGTTATTGAAGTGTACATTAAATATTTATATATATATATATATATATATATATATTTTTTTTTTTTTTTTGTTAAGAATATTCAGATAAAATAAAGGACTATACTTGTTTTAACATTAGATGTACTTACCTACTTTCATCAAACGAACATGTTTTACTTTTCCGTATTGTTGTTCTTAGAAGCAAACCTGGGCAAATTAATAAAATTGCAACTTACAAAGAAATTGTATTTGTATTAGAACAAAAAAATACTAAAAAATAGTTTGACTCGATTGATTACAATTTTAAACAAACAATATATGTATATACACATTACACACATATTTTAGTATTTTGTTTGTCAAGACCTCAGAATTTTAGTATCTAGAACTCCAGTTTGCTTTTTAAACGGCCTCCGAATTAACAACTTGCAAAACAAAAATTAGAATTTTCCAATATTATTTTGTTTTATAAAAAACATATTTAACATTAATTCTGAGACCAATTCGAAATTCAGCAAATAATTTAAGTAAAAAAAAAAAAATGCTGAAAATACCACAAGACAGTGTTTTATAAACATTAGAGGCATTAAAAAAAAAATACTATACTTAATTAAAGGTATTCTGCGACCAGATGCAGATTCAAAGGATAAATCTATGTATATTAGTTCTTGTTCCAAAAATAAAAGAATAACTAGTGTTGTATACAACTTGTGTTATTAGGTTTTTTTGAATTTTTGTACTTGCACACATAGGTGTATAAAAAAATGGTCACGAGTGCATTGGTTAATTGTATAAAACACAAATTATAACTTTTGAAATTAAAATCCATTTAAAATGTGGATAATGTCTCAAGACATACATGTCTGGCCCAATTTCGTTCCGAGACAACTGCAAGTTCAAACAACTATTAAAAACACATATTTATAAATAAATTTGCACAAAATAATCTATATTTTATATTAAAAAAATAAGTCTTACACATATTAATATTATTATATTGTTACGTTTACGGCTATCAAAATATAAAAAAAATGCATTACAAACGCTTTACAAGTGGTATTTGCTTCGACTAAAATATAAAATTACAGCAAATGCAATTTATTTCAAAAACACTAGGTTCACTTGAATTCAACATGAATATTGTTCGGTCAAAAAGGTAAGCGGTCATAGGTTCCAAGCCATTCTTAAGTAAGCCATTCTTAAATTGGTATAACTTGGTTATAACCTGGTAAAAAAAAAAGGACCACGAAGGGCGTGGTAGAGCGGGACAGTAATAACCATAAGTGTTATCATTTGGGAACCTATGACCGAATGCCGATCAATACTAGTGTAAAATAATAATAATGGGAGTGTTTTCCACATTACTTATAAAATTACAAACACAATGGCGGCATGCGCTTTGCCGAGTTATTAACAAACGGAACGATAAAAACATTTGTAGGTGTTTTTTAACTGCAATAATAATTATAGCTTTCGGCTAATCGCTTGGAAATAAAAATACTATGCAGCTATATTGTGCGTACTATTATTAACGGCGTCCAAACTATACTCAAAAAGGGTCGCCGAGTGAACTATATAATATTATATATATATATATCATAAGAAATCATTGTAGATCGGTGGAAGAAATTGCCTCTCTATAAGCCAATAATATGCATATATGCTCCTCTGCCAGTGTTGTTTCTGGATGCTGCCGCCGGGAGAGACGTCCTGCGGCAACGGCCACTGGATGCGGCGCTACAGCGATGCCTGACCTTCGCGGGCAGGTGTGTGGTTTGTTCACGCGGCCGCCTGGGCGCGCAACGAGGCTACGCCGCCGAAAGCGCACGGGTTCCCGGTCACCCTGGATTCGGCGGTTTCCTGGAAATAGTTGACCGAGCTGGAGTACACCTGGAGTTCGATGCACTTGGCCACTCGGGATTTCTTCTTTTTGCGTCCGGCCCGGTCGATGTCGTAGTCCATGAACGCGGCAAAGGGGTTCCTTTGCGACGGCGGTTCCTCCCGCCGTTTGACGGCCGGTGCAGCCGCGGGCACCGGGGCCGGCGACCCCTCGCCGCCGCCATCGTCGCACCACCGGCGGTGCAACCCGTTCGCACCGCGGTTGCCGCCTTCCACGATCACCACCTTGATGAGCGGCACCACCGAGTCGCAGATCTCGCTGATCTCATTGGCCAGTTCGAACTTCTCGAAGAGGCTCATGTTGCCGTTGCGCTCGAACGCCGCGTGCTTGTCGCTGAACGCGAACAACTGGGACACGCTCAGCGAGTAATAGTCGCCGAACAACCGCGAAAGCTCGGCGTACGTTTCTTTTAACGTCTGAAAAAAAATAAAATCTGCGTTATTGAAAAATTATGTTTGTTTTTTTTTACAATTTTTATCAATATTAATATTTTATCTTTTTGACATTTCGCACCTCTAGAACAAGACTGCCACAACTTTATCAATTTTGAGTTATGACCACTTTCGGGTAGCAAAAAATCAGCTCTATTCAATGAAAGAACGCCACATTCATTATCATTTTTAATTTTGCCACTAGAAAAACGTGTCAGTATAGAATTATTCAACTTTTAGCTTATTTTCAATGCAACAGAGCCATATTTACTTTATGACAAAATTTTTCCATTTAATTATTGAAGTCAAAAATTAAGACTGCCTCATTTTGATTTGTAGCATTCTTACGCTGTATAAAAAATAATTTTCTGGTCCTGTGATGAAAATGCAACACTGCCATAATTCGACTTACGGCACACGAAATGTACATAGCTTAAATTCAATACTGCCATATTTTAGTATATGGCTATCTTAAAATAAATTTGTGTATACAATACAGCCACATCTCAAAATATGGCAGTCTTGCATTCCTTATAAAATTGTAAAAGGCCATATCTAACTTTTTGGGTTTAAGTTAATATTTCATAATATTTGAAGAAGTCATATTGTAAAGCATGTTTTAAGTATTTATATGTTTTTAGTTTCAAACGCATAGCTAAAAAACTGCAAAATATCTTAGTTACAAACTTCAAATCACTTTTTCTCAAAACTATAAATTTTGAGTTGTGGCAGTCTTGTTCTAGAGGTGCGATTTTATGTCTTTACTTTGGCACACAATCCGAAAAATCGACAGGAAAAAACATAACGAAAATATCAGATGATTTATCTGATAGGAGATTAGAGGTAAGAGATAAAATGTCTCCCGTCGTTGCGGACTCGTACGCAAGCTGTTGTGTTTCAGGGATGCCCGGTTGTGGCGTAATTTTAAAAGTATATTTGGTAAATATAGTTATTTCAGTTTAAAAAATACAAAAAATTGCAGTTTTTTACACTGAAAAAATAATTAATTGACTAAAAATAATTTTAAGATTGGGCCATGATCGATGCTTTGAAAATGTTATGCGAAGAACTCAAATGTTGTTTTAAAACTTAAGTCGAACTATAGTCTATTCACCGTAAGTTGGCCCACTTTGTGGTCACAAAGTGGGTCAACTTACAGTGAATAGACTATAATCTTAGGAACAATAATGTTAATATGTGCGTTATAAAATTAAAAAAAAAATAATTGACAACCAAAATACATGCTTCTTTCCTGTGGTATATGTTTAAAAATGTTAAGTTTAAGTGGAAAATTACCTACACAATGCGCGCCTTAATAAATAGAGGCCTCTTATATAGAGGATTATCCAACGAAACGGACGATTCGTAGTTGATAATAAAATAACTAAATAATTACGGCGTCCGTAAGGAACAACAAGGAGAGTAATTTCAGGTTTTCTTTTGTCTATATTATTATAAGCATTTCAGACGCTAAGAATGTCTCAGTAGCTTTGAGAACACTACAGATTCCCAGAAACGTGTAATTATGGTCGGCTTACTCCACGCCCCGTTGTAATAATACAGCCAAGACTCGAGATATAAGTGAAAAAAAAGTCACCTTTCTTTCTTGGACGTTCGAAGATGACAATGTCTACTGGTACTACATTGTATTGTCATATTATATAAGGATTATGAGATTAAATAAATAAATATGTTAAACAAGCCACACAATTTTTTATTATGAGCTACAGGGTTATTTACAATTTCACGTTACAAACAACATAAGTATGTTGCAAAGTATGAAAAGTAAGTAACATGCAATTTTAATAACCCTGTTTACCATATTACAAAAGATTATATTTTTTTTTGTTGGAAAGGTTATAGGTTTGAAACGATTAATACAACAATTTGTTATTATAATATATGATAATTATGTAGCTAATCGAGATCAATATAATATATAGGAGTAGAAGAAACAGAACGAAGTATGAGTAATGACATTAAATAATATATTATAATTGAGCATGCGAAAAATAAAATGACCAACCTACTACGCATTGAGCATTATAGTAAACATGTTGTGTAGCCGACAGGCAAGGGCGATTGGTCATTTTTGGTCTATAAGAAAATATTGTTAGAGGCCTCACATTTAAAAAAAAACCGTTCCCTGCGTTCGCAATTTCGGTTCTATAAATTATGTGTTTTTTTTTTATAACTCCTCTATTTTTCTTTTTTATTACTTTGGCCCTACCTTCTATATGGGGACCTCCTCGGGCACCATCAATTATTATCCGCTAAATTGTTTTTGTTATGTTTGTTATACAGTTTATAATAGTATACCAAGCTTGAATAAAGTTCAAGGACGTATTTGGAGCCCGACAGTTTAGAAAATATATTTTTTAAACGTATGTAGATCTGATTTAATTTTACTGATGCCAGTTAAAAATTCTGGACATTAGGATTTGGGCGGGCCCGTGTCAATGTTTCTATATTACCTTCACCTTCGCAAATATTATTTATATGTTTTTGACAGGTGAATAATAATGTAGTAGAACCCTCACCGACAAAACCGACTATCATTAGTAATAATCCTGTGAGGCACTGTTGGGAGAACCTAATGGTGCTCACAATAGGGGGGACTGCGAATCGAGTAACAACAACCGTCGAACAGGAGGAAAACAACGTCGTCATCTATTATTTTGGCTTAAGTATACTCTCAAAAATGATACGGCTTATGGTCAAATTTTTTGCAATCTGTGTGGGCAAGTAGTTTCATATCTGCGGGCTCTGCTGTTGGAATTCGGTGTGCTCGATTCTAAGACATGCTTCTCGCCCTCCCATTAAGGTTATGACGCCAAACTACCTCTCATCAGTATATATATATATATATATATACTGATGAGAGGTAGTTTATATATATATATATATGGACATGTGGTTGTTTTATCTATTATTATTAAGTACTTGGCATTATCATTATTGTTGTTTGCCGATCATCGTGCGAGTTATGTGAGTTTAAAAAATATATTGTTTTTTATAAAAAAAAAAATATGTTATCATTACTGCAACTATTTTATTATTAAACAAATACTAATACTAACTCGTTTACAATATAAGCGCTTCTGAGTATTGTTTTTAATCGATTTTAAAACAACAGGCAATCCGTATACTTAAATAGTATAAGTCTTATCCATTCTTTCGGTTTTTATAGATAACTTATGATGACATTACATGAATTACTGAAGGTTTTTCAATTAATTTCCGTTTATGAATTATAAACAAGTCATTGTGCTCTTGATGAGTGTATAATATTGTTTTTGCCTAATATACAAGCGAGTCGTATTGGCTGGTGTATAATATTGATTGACGACGACCGGGTTTAATTTGTTTTTGTCGTCTAAACGTCTTTCGAGTATTGTCTTTTGTACGTTAATTGTTAAACCAATGGACGACTAATAAGCCATATTGTAATATTAATAGGACAACGTCAAAATATATATTCAAGTGTTTAATCGCCAAAACGTGTTCTTACTAACGAGTGTCGGCCGCAAAACTTAAAGTTGGTGGCTAATGCCTATTATCTGCTTACAAAAAAACTAGTTGCGATTTTAGGAATATAATATTGAAACCAGTTAAAAATAGAAGTTGTCTCATCCCATCGCACCGTCTACGTGTAAAATTGTTACAAAACGCGCATCTTCGTGAAGCGAATGCACATTAATAATAATAATGTGTAAAAAAAGGCAAAGCTGGTAACAACTGCCATCCTAATGGAGAGCAAGTATAACTAGTGAATCTTGTCACGGTAATAGCTAAGAATAGTAAAAAAAAAACAAGTTCTAAACCCGACGTGTTAAACTGTTTCAACGTTAAATAATAATATATTATTGAAAAATAGTTATTTTATGTATATTTGTTCAGTTTTTTTCCACCCTCGAGTATTTGTCAATGGATCGCTCTATTATTATACACGTGATATGGATATTTTAGCCTGGTTTATGATGCCGGCTTCGACGGATTTGCCGCGTGAACAGCATAATATTGAGCTGTATGCTATGGATCAATATTGATTTCGGTTCGAGCAAATAGGATCTGAGAACAGTAAACATCGCACTTCTGCGTGCCACAGATAAAATACATTTTTTTTTTTCATTAAACAGGTTAAGTCCTATATATTGTTTTCTAGATAATCATAAAAAAACGATTTGCTCGGTTACCTAATCGCGTTTAATCAAGTACACTAAAAACATACAACATCGACTTTTACGGACATTCCGCCGGCCTTATGCAATGACATTATAGATTTAACCGACTAGATAATAATAATGAAAACCCGTTGCGCTATTTAGGTTATCGTTACATGCGCGCAATTATTATTTGTCGCGATTCGCAAATGTTTGTTTAGCAATAAAGGTTTTTTGCCAATTGGCATGGAATTAAATATGGCAAATTCGAGTATTTTTATCAAGCACACTTGAACTGTAAGTTTCAAGTACGATCGCCTGACATTTGGCACGTACCTCCTGACACAGCTCGAACAGTTCGTTCCACCGTTCGCTGTTTGAGTCGTTGGACGCGGACAGCATGACGGCCAGCTTTTTGGATATGCCTTTGAGCTTATAAACCCGGAAAATCGGCAACAGCGCTCGTTCCATGTAGAAATGTTCGCTGTATACGTCCGAATAAATGTCATCCACGCTCTCTCTATTAAATAAATGAATAAAATATAATCAATAAGAATAATAATAACAATAACGACGGTCGTCGCTGTCTGAAGCGCTTACAGGTTGTTGCGCAGAAACGGCCTAAAGTCCCTGAGGAGATGACAAAAAGTTATCATCCGCGTGCGGGCGACCGACTTCAAGTGCACGATAAGCAAGTTGGCCAGATCGTCCAGTCTCTCCAAAACCATAAAACACGTGGGCCACATGTCTTCGACGTCGTGCAACAACGTGTCAGAGCTTTCCTTTACTGTGAAACAACAACGGGGTAATATAGTCCAACTTGGAAAGTTGGTTCACCTTGTTACGAATGCCGCCACTTACGTTTGGATAGTGTTTGTTCAATCAGCGACTTGTCGTCCATCAAAAAGTAATCCGGCCACAGCGCTCGTTTCTTGAACGCCACCAACATCTTGTCCATTTCTTTGTTGTAGGCCATTTCGTTTTCCAAAATCGATATTCGCACTCTGACTAGAATCGCTCCCATATCGCTCATATCGCACAACATTTCTATACAAACAACATTATTATACAGAAATCGTTGACAATATGTAGTGCAAGTAGTCTTTTCATTTAAGTACCTTTATTCACTTGTGTCAGCGTCATGGGTAATTTTTCCCAACTTATTATCTCTTGTAGAGAACGACTTCTGGAAAACGGCAGCCGAGGTTTCAAAAGCTTAGTGCTGGGAACCTATAAGAAAAGGTGGAAACGCGTTTGTTACACACCGGTGTAATTACCAAGAATGTCCCTCAATTTAATTAATTGTCCACTTGTTTGTTTACCTGTCGGTTTAATCTTGTCAATGGCTCGTATGGACCTAAAGCGACAACACACATAGACACGTTTAAAAAAAATGTTACCAACAATAGGCAATTCGAGGCTCACATCTGAGTTGAGATTTTTGATTAAGATACTGCAAATAAGTGTCTTCGTTCCAAGCTTCTTTCACCTGTCTCAAACGCTTCTTCCACGCGTTTAGCTGTTTTTCAGAGTTGAATTTCACTTTGAACCAGTCCAACTTTGCTATGTTTTTTATATGCAACACCAAGTGACTGCCGTCGCATATCCTCCTGCACGCCGCCAAATCTCTTACAGGATGGATTTTCGTCCTTCGTGGATCCTGATCGTCTCTGCGTATAGGTACATATCAAACAACATGATATCATTATGAAATTAACATTATATCATTAAATTAGTAGGTATTTACCCATATATCCATAGAGTACTGTTGCTGAGGACCACGAAACGCTGTCTCCAGTCAGGATCTCCTACGACTTTCACGTTGAGGATATCGCAAAAACTCGATATTCCAGTCATGTTTACCACCTACACATTTACAAAACAAAACAAAAATGATACATTTCAAAAAAAAAATTGCTCAAGTATTAGGTATTGCTATAATATACCTATAGTTAAATCAATATTGTTATTTTACAAACAGAATCCATAAAGCCTAGTGCATTTACTCGGGGCAAATATAATATGACATATTTGTGGTTTAGAAACGTTATTAAGAAACCAGTAGGAAGAAAATAAATCAAGTTTTAGCCGAGAAAAAAATCCGAACGATTCACACTTAAAACATAACAGGCCCAATTTTTTTTTTTTTTTAATAGGTAATACAAATAAATATACATTTTATGTTAGGCCGTGCATATTTATATATTCGACTTTTTCACCCGTTATGCGACTATATTTTATTATAGTATATCATCAGCCGGTTTCACAAGCTATTATTAAATACACTCTTAACATAATTCAAATTAATTTAACATCTGGTTAAATTATGTAAGTTTCATACCATAACATTATTATTATTAAATTCTATTCGGGTTACCAAAGCGGTTACCTTGATTCCAACGTTCTCATTGGTTATCACAAAATGTGATAACTAATAAGTGATAACATTAAAATTTTATAATCAAATCTCAAATAGTAATGTATAATTCGATCTATGACATTTTAACATGCCAATTAAATCCTTAACAAATGTTGGTGAAATCGGCTGCATATAAAATATATAGATTCCTTTAAAATATGGTGAATTGAAAAGTTCATACTCTAACGACAATCAAATTATTATTGCGCACAAGCAGTACAGCAGTACTCTGTAGTATAACTCGGTAATTATATTGTTTTATAATTAGATTAGTATTGAGAACATCAGAAGACGTCATTAATACTAGCTAATGCGCGACACCTAAGCCCGAACAAATTACAAAGGACAAAGATGTCGCTCTTAAATGACATCAATTCAACCGTAGTCTATTAAAAACGGGCCACGTGCAATATGATAATAGTAATTCCCGTATTCTACTATTATTATCTAATATAATATGGTCTTTTGTTTATGTGTCTATTGTTATCTTGTTTGAAAAATTACATAGCTGGTTGCACATTTCTAACGATGAAAAAAAAATAACAAAATACACGCCAATGTCAATGTAAACATTGAGTCATACTAATGTGGTACGTTAATTATCCTTTTGGTCTAGCCAGTAGCCCATAACCGTTTAATAATATTTAGGTAATGAGTACTGTGTATTGATCGATAAACCCATCGAATTTGACAGGCAAGCACGCCTAAGCGTACCCGAAATGGATATTAATAGGATAGGAATGAATATATTTTTATTAAATTTTAGACAGTCTGTACTTTTGTGTTTTCCACCAGGAAGGCAAGATGTTCTCCTCGCTATTGTGACATTTAATCCTCGAAGCCCGAGAACTGTCGAGTTGGTGCAAACGGATTTCCGCAGATGTTCCGGGTTATTATACCACAGCCCTATGATCATCTGTCACTAGACAGGCCACCTGGCATATTTTACACTTAAAAGTATTTCTTGGTAATAATGTACCATGTTTTTAATAAAAAAAACTTTTCACTGTGTGCCACATTAAAAACTATCTTGTGTTTATTGTATATATTAGTGTTTATACATGCTAAACATAATCAGCCGATTAAACTTATTGTTAATTATATTTAACAATTGGTTAGTGAAAATTGGGTTTCATCGAGATTTGTTAGCCTTAACACATTGTTAAAACGATTGTTAGTTAATCAGCCGTAATCAGATGGTTAAAAATTTAATTGGCACGTTAAAATGCCATAGATCGAATTATACATTACTATTTGAGATTTAATTATAAAATTATATTGTTATCACTTATTAGTTATCACAGTTTATGATAACCAATGAGAACGTTGGAATCAAGGTAACCGTTTTGGTAACCCAATTACCATTTTGTTTACTTAACAAGTATAATTTAATAATAATAATGTTATGGTGAAACTTACTTAATTTAACCAGATGTTAAATTTATTAGAATTGTTAACATTTGAATTATGTTAAGAGTGTATTTAATAAAAGTTGGTGAAACCGACTGTATGTCTTATAGCGTATACTTTATAGCATACTGCCTAGTAAAAAAAAAAAAGTCTCTAGAGAATGTTTTTGTACAAAAAAAAAGCTTAACCCTCTGGGTTGTAATAGTTGAAAACACATATAAATAATAATATCAACAAACCCCGTCAAAATTGCACTTACATTGTATATTATTCACATGTAGGTAGAGTGACTTCACAATAAAGAGTTTATTAGGCGTGACAGGATATATTAATTAATTATTCAAAAGTACACTTATAACATTACCCGAATGATAAGAAAAACATTAGGTTTACACGCAAAAAACTTTAATATGAAACAAATAATCTAATTATTATAATAAGCCATACACAATTCACTCGTTCAAACTTGACCTAAACCCGACCTCACTAATTTCGTTGTATTATTGTAATTTTTAGGAAAACAAAATTATTATAATCAATCAATTATTGTAAGTGAAATATCGACTCGAATAAATATGATGGTTTTGTACTACATCCAAGCTAATCTAATTCTTGAATTGACACACAACGGATGATAATAAAGGTATAATTGTATCTTATTATAATTGTATCTTATTATAATTGTATCTTATTATAATTGTTCGTATAGTAAAAGGTCTATTGTGTTATTTATTATAATTTGAAAAAGTTAAAAAAAAAATCTTAATTCATGTATTATATTAATATTGTTAATTATTGTAAACTAGGAAGAGTGTACATTTATTAAAAATGTCTCATATATTATTTACTTAAGGGAAATAAAAATAATTATCTATAAGATGTCAATACATATAATATTATTATATTTAACGCTTATCTAAATAAATAACGTTAAGAAAACACAATAATTACACAACTAAACCTTTTCGAGAACGATCAAGAAAATGTCAGCTAGACTTTATCAAATAATGTATTAAAATATTATTATTATTATTTATGACAGTCGTGAGATTAACAACTCTAGTTATTACAATATATTTTATCAAATTATGTTATTTTTAAATTATACGAGGTAAGCCACCAACGTCAAGAAACAAATAAATAAAACATTTTCAAATTAAATAACAATCACAGAAAAACAAGTTAATATTTTGAAAAAAAACCGTCACCCGCTCATGCGTCCCATCATGCGTGTGAACACGTGTATTGAGTATTCACAAACTATGTGTGGTATTATTTTATTTAAAACAAATATATTATTATATTAATATATTATTTTCACGATGTATTTTATCAAAGTTTTTGTGCTGGCAGTTTGCCCATTTTGCCAAGTGAATAGAATATTGACAGAGATAAAAGACTTGTTATAAAATACACATCATAACTGATAACAAGTCTAAAAAAAAATTGGAATAGACATTAATATTTTTTCTAAAAACATTCTATTACTAATCTTAAACTTGCCAGGTAAATTATGATACATGTTAATTATTTACACTACAGCTGAGCCATAGGTTTAGGCACACAATGACAGTGTCCTCAAGGACAAGAAATAGACATGTGGCTACTGTAAAATTATAATATCTGTCCATGATCATTACATTAATAATAATACAACCAGTTTAAAAAACCAGGTAAAAACATCCATCGATAAAAATATGAAACTGTAATTGGCTCGCCGACGTAAGTGATGTTTTCTTTTAGTAAAAATTAGGTTTTTTTTGTCTGAGCTTTAGAAAGTATACATTATAAAATCAATGATTGTTTAAAAGATTTGGTTTTTGTTTTTTTCTTTGACAATTTCAATTCCCGATATCCTTGTATACATATATAGCTATGCTAAGTATAGCCTTTCAAAAACAAAGCTAATTGAAGTCTATTCAAGCTGTACCGACTTGGTTAACTTCAAGGTTACATTCTCCCAAGTGTACGTCACGAAAAGCCTTATATATTCCTCTCTCGTTACACACACGTGAACTTTTCACTTTTGATATTTCTAGTATTATACTAAATTGTATAAAACTTTTATTCTTTTTCAAATTTTTATTTATGTTAAATTTTGTTTTTTAAATAAACGTTTGCAGCTACTTTTAAGTACACGATGACACTTGAAACTGAGTTATAAAGTAAAATTACCATATACAAGGTGGACTACTGTTTAAAAAAAAGATCTTTCCCCCCTCCAATCGATAGAAGCCTATTCAAATAAGAAACCCTTAAAATTTCAGATCCTTGGCTTAACACAAAGTAATTTCTCATAATTTTCAAGTGTCATATTTTGGTTTTAAGAATATTTGTTCAAGTTGAAAAAAATTGATTAGTTTTCGAGTTGGAATATTTTTTAAGAAAAATTAAAATGTCCCATGTTAATCAAATGCAAAAAACCACTTAAAGTCGAGCTAGGGAAGTTAAAAGGTTTTTTTTTATCGATTGTAAGGGTTGTAGGCCCTTTTAAAAAAAAAAAATCGCGCGACTAAGGGTGTGGAAACGTTTGCAGTCATTGGCTGGTTCAGAATATTACCAAAATAAAGATAAATGTTGGTTAAAAATCGACATAAAACAATAGTTACTACAAGCACACACACACACGACTCGCCCCTCTAGAAACTATTTACATTGGCCAATACAAATAACATAGTAGGTACCTTAAGGGTGAGATTAGATAGATAGTGCCGTCGTCGTTACTGCTCAACACTCGATTATCGTGTTGGCGGGGCAGCTGCTCAAGGATGGCTCGCGATCCTTGTTGCCATGTGCGCATCGAACACGAAAGATCCCGCTTTTGGACCTCCACCGTACCGCACAACTACATATCTACGACTGACGCGGTCCGGACGCCACGCGCGGCTATTATTGTACAGAAACAACAACAATGGACCGGAACGCGTATCGACCGACCCGCGCTTTGAGCGGCGCAATATAGTATTATTGTTAGCGCCAACGTACTCGACGGCAAGTCGGGTGGGGTGCCGCCCGTGACCGTGGAGGGGAAGGGCGGCAACGGAGGGGTTGAACGAAAACCCCGCCGAAAGGCCGTCACGTGATCTAGTGCAGAGCACCATCTGGCGGCCCGCTCCGATGACTAGGCCTTTGCCAAATATTAAAACATTGCTCTACACCTACTAGGTATATAATATTAAAACCGTGTCATCGTCCAAATATTTGTCGCGGGCAAACACTTTACTCGCGTTTGTCATATTTTCTACTACGCCGTTTGGCTAAATTTGGGGCCGTAATATTTAGCTGTTCCAAATTGCCAAGATCAACGGCCTTTGTGTGTACAGTATGCTACGTACAATGGTGTGTATATAAGAGTGTACACAACTTTTACTGCGCAGTTACCGAGCCGTGCAGAGCACGTGTCGCGCGCCGACGGCCAACTTTTTTTCCTCATGCAAACGCGTTGACTAACCCGTCGGCAAACTTCGGTCGACGACACCCCAACCCGGCCGACCTTGGCGTCGCCCCCGCGGGCCCATGTGACAGACACATTGCTTTTTGTGATGATCATCAACACACGCAAAACGACTTACTGTACACCTACTACTTTCCTTAACCGTTCGTCCGATACGGCTTATCGGTATCGGCGGTTAATCCCATTCCCATATAATACCTTAAGCTGAACGCGCGCACACGTCATTAAGCCAATTAGATTAAAATTGCTGTTGCACAATCGTCGTAGTAAATCCGTGTACCGGATTTGTGAGCAAAGAGCAGTAGAGGGGGAGCTAAAGGGGCTATAAAACGTTACTCGGATACTCGTGTTTGATATTTAGTATCTATCTATGTATAATATATACATGTATGATTTTAAATCATCAAGTTTTTACTTTTTTATCATTGATTAATATTATTCATCTTGTCTTGTCTTGTCTTGTTTATTATCTTTTAATTTGTCGACATCGACGAGAATAGATTTTTTATTAAAGTGTTTAAGATATTAAAAAACTGACTCGCAATTTAAATTAAAACCTTTACCAAAATATTAAAAGTATTGTTGGCCTTCGATAAAAATTGTATAATCATTTTCGGTGGGGTTGGCATGACCCCCAAAAATCAAAATTCCTACCCCCGTGTGTGCACCATAACAGCAATATTATAATAAGAACACTGTACATATTTCTTACCAGTCGAATTACTTGCACAGTAGACCGTCAAACACACGATTAATTTCTGAAAAAAAAAATAATGAATTAAAATTGATTTTTATTTCAGCAACTTAAGTACAAAATACACACTAATCGTCAGTCGGTTTATTAGGAAATTAATAAACAATAATATAGTTGTACCTTAGTTTGTATTAAATGTTCAGGACTTTTGTAAAACAGGACCACACCTTCTGGATATACGTCATGAACTAGTTGCATTTTTAAAAAATTCCAAAACCCACCTAAAGTTTTACACTCAGAAAACAACTACACTGTTTGGAGGGTTTGCTCAGTTCATTGTTATTTGCACTTTCATTCTCATTGTGTAGGTAGTACAAATAATAAACAGCAGCTTTTAAACGGAATATTATAACTGATACAGTACACATTATAGACATATTATAACGCATTATATGTATTTGTGTTGATACAAATTGTATAGTTGATTATTATAAATACATATATTTATACATAGGTTTATATAGGACTACAATTTTTAAACGAAACGTCTTGGATTCAAAATTAATTTAACTGTCAATCCCTATATTAAATAAAAATACATTGCAAAAATCATGGCGGCCTCGACCCCGTTATTGGTTGAGTAGCAATTTTCCAGTTAAGCTCAATAAAAATCAATACAACCATACAGAATAGTGCATACATACCCTAGTCCTACCTTTCTATGTACCGCTGTCTTAATAAGGTATGATGATGTAGCATTGTCATTGGTCACATAAGTTATAGTAGGTAATTTTAAAAACATTTAGCCGGAATTTGTTTTCAAAACGGATCCGATCCGTTTTGCTTGAAATCAAATTACTCATTCACCGATTTAGAATCTAATAGATGTCGGTTCGCGAACTTAGGAACCCGTTAAGTGTACAGTGCATAATATAAACTTACCTATGTCTATTGAAGTTGATTGTATGCTAGATTGAAAAAGCGTTTGATTTCCAATGCGTCAAAAATACAAAATTACTTGTAAGTATTTAGCGTATAAGATAAAAACCGATAAATATGATTTCAATATACATAATATTATGTTAGGTATATGAAACATACAGCGGGGACTGTAGAAAAGAAATGCTAGTTTTTCTGCTATAATACCTATCCAAGTCATGTCATTTATTAGAAAAACCGTTTTTTTTTATTTTGGTTGGCATTTAGCAACCATATTTTTTCGTTTAAATTACAAAATTCTAATTATTATTACACCGTTTTTTATAATAATTACAGTGTTTTGTATTGCTAATAAAACAAATTCGACACGCGTATCAAACGTCTAATAAAATACAATATTCTACTTATTCGGCTTTTGCGTTGTTAGTGGCAGATGTTTTAATAGTATTTATTTTTTGTGTGTACACTAAATGTACACATTAACTACCGGCCCTGCTATTATCACCATGCTAGAACGTGATTATTTTTTTCCGGTATTTCATTGTAACGCAGTAGGCTTATAAAGTTTGGCATTTTTAAGTCAACAACAAAATCAGTTTGGAGTTAGCCATATTGGTCATTGATTTAGAACTTTAGAATCGGTAATATTATAGATCCTCTATAGTGTTTTCAAAGAACATGCCACCTGTAATAAATATAAAAAACGTGACTTGAGATTTCTTTCGACACGATTGTATGTTGTAGATAATTGGAACGACGTGGCCAGTAGTAGGTATTATTACGGTCACCGGCTCCAGACCAAACTATTATGGCCTCTAGCTGCTTTTTTTCTGGACAGATGAACATCTAGAGTAAGAAACAATCGTCCCTTTGTTTGTTTGTTCACAAACCACTTCCTCTGGTCAGCGATAAATTAGCTGTAATTATATTAAATCCAGTTACACCCAGCTTCAAACAGTCTGTCGATGAAACATTAAACGACGTTGAAAATCAAATTTAAACGAAAACAAAATCAATTAAATAAACCTCGTAATATATTTACTTTCTGTTGAAAATTCAATGTAAACATCTCAAATTGGAATGTGACACTTGACAAGTATTACATTTTTTGTTAAAAACGTTATGAATGTTTCGATTGAAATTTTATTTAAAGCAGTTAAAATATAGTTAAGGACGAAGGAGTTATAATAAAAGTACTTGAGGCTAGGAAAATGTATTGTATTCATCATGTTGGTGAGAGAAAAAATGGTTATAAGAGGGTTGACAATAATGAAAGTAAAATCAGAAAGAGATATAATTACAAAACTAGCAAATCGATACTGTTTTTTAATTAAAAGACGGCCGGACGAAGTAAATTGCTAATAGTATTTAATAATAAGTAGTTTGTACTTTTATCCCACTCATTGTTTACTAGTTATGTATAAACTCTTACTTGCATTGGCTAAAAGTTTACTGGTTACCGGTTTACCTATAAGTTATGTTAATACTAATTAATTGATCATATAAACTATTAGTGTTGTAGGCATAGTAATTAGGAGTAAACGACCTTTTTCTAATAAATTATCTGTTTTATAAGCTTACCATCTATTGTATTGTGGTTTTTTTAACAAATTTGGTACATTTTGTGTACAGTCAGTAGACATTGATTGTGTATTGTTTGCTAATCATCATACTATTAAAATGAAATAAAACAATAAACGCATCATTAAGAATAAATAAATCATAAAGACTGAAGACATAATGAGGTACCCATAATAGAAGGTCTTCTGTTAGCGAAACCACTGTATTTATTAACTAAAGTATGTGAAAAAACTTATACTACTTATAGTCATTAGGTAGGTACTGTGTCGTTTATGTGTTTTCGAGGAAAAATAGTTTTATGAATCTTTAAAAACAAATAAAAAAAAGTGGTTAGCCGTTGACATAATCATTTATTTATTTTTAGAAGTGTGTATCGTCAAATATGTTCTTATATAAAAGTGAACAATAATGAAAGATAATCCAGGAACAATCTTAAACATTTGAATATAAATACAAATCCTTAAAAATCTTAATACATTTAAATGAATAAAAATGTTGTATTAATAATATTATTCATGGTAAATTAATACCGTTGTATGAAGTGCGAAAAATGGGTAAAATTAAAAAAAAATATGGCGTTTTACAATTCGCAAGTAAACATTTATTACATTTTCTATTAAGTATTTGAGATCACAATTGGATTACCCATAGAAACAATAATATAGGATGTAAGTAATGAGAAAATAATAATTAAAATTTAAACAAATTATAGTAATCCAATTATTGGATTTGACTTAAAAAGAAATATATATTTTTTTATTAGTATTAAATACTGTTTACGGCTAATTAAATAAACCCGGATAAATGGTTTTGATCATAGTACAGAACTAATAAATGATTTCTTAATTGAATATTGAACCAAACGCCTACATGCATATTTTTTACTTAATTAGTTTCCCACATTAGTAATCTGTAATACTCTATATTGTATAAAATTGATACCTCCCAATTTATTAATGCGATTGCAACTTTAATGTTGAATTAACTATTATTTTATGCAACGTAACATTTATAAAAAACAACGAAACTATTCTTTAGAATATGTAATTTATAGTTATTTAGAAACCGTTTCAAGCTATATAAATTTCTATTTATGCTTGGAAATAAGTTCCCCATGATTGTCTTTAGCCTAGAAAGTTTTTCTAATAACATATTTTTCTACAAATTGATAAAACATATTTTGTTGGATACCCGTCTGTGAAACAATTAAATTTGAATTTAAAATTGGTGTAAATTTTGTTTAAACACAATAATAAATTACAAACTCTTGGATTTGGTAAATTAAAATATATTTTTCATTTAAAGACCATGGTAAACTATTACCAAGCTATTATCTAGTTAATATTTTACATTTTATCGAAGCAAATAGTCAAAAATATAATTTTAAATGAGTTTTTATTTTTTATTAACTAACTATTAATTTAAGTAAATACATGGTAACATTTCCGAATCATTTACACGCATTTCGGTTAAACTATTCTACACAAAACTTGAAATTGTTTAGCAATATATTCAGAAACCGAATTTCCTTAGGCAAATAAAAATTATATATATATATATATATCAAATGTATATATGTTAAAAACATTATCCATCGTTGGTATAGCTTACGATGGAAAATTGAAAATATGTGAAGTATTATAAAATCATTTAAATATAATTAATTTTTTCGATTTGCGACAATATAACAATATTAGGTTGTAGTTTTTTTGTTCATAACTACAATACAAGCACAAAAAGAGTAGTTGGTTATCACATATCACATTGACAGGAATCTACTACCTATATAATATGTCATAGTTATGAAACATTACACTATATTGTTATATTATATTATATAGTTTGTATTGTTTTGTGTTGGTATATTGATGACGTTTTTTGTATAATGTGTATACTACGCTCTATATTTGTAAGTGTGTAAACAGTGAATATTATGGCGTGAGAATATTGCAATATCGTTCGATAAGAGATAATGGGTTTAGATTAGATAAAACTTGTAACAAGTAAACAAAAAAGACGTTATGGTAGTAATTTTGTTGTTTTTTTTTTTGTTCTTTTACTACCAAACTACGCATTTATCCACGGGGTTCATCCGGGATCCGAGGGGACATCCGAACGCCTCGGCAAAATCAACCGAGTTCGACAACGGGCCCCAGACACGCGTTGGTCCTGGTGAATGTACGGACGACCTTACTTTTGTCAAAGCGTCTTCGGGGCGCATCGAGCCGCACCAGATCTGCGCGTAATTTAAAAAGAATAGCTGATCGTGTGTCATAGCAATACCCGGCAACAAAGGTTCTTCTCCGTGCTTTGCTACCCATTTCTTGTACGCCTGAAAAACGATACGCACATTGTATACAAAAACACAGAATAGATGGATAAAAGCAGAGAAGGATCACTTGTAAAGTAAACAAAAACGTGACGGCTATGTTGAAAGGGCATACAACCCAACCGTACCCTTGTACCTTTTCTTATCTATTTAGTACCCTTATCAGTTTAAAATAATGATATTACGGTTTGTATATAATATATTTGTTTAAATTAGTTATAACTTAAATTTTTAATTGCTTATACATATTAAAACCTCTAAAAGCAATTTTTCTAGTCTTTAAATCAATTATTGTTTTGACTTTCGTATAAAAATTATATTCTACTATTAGTTTTACGAAAACGGTCACACTGCGACGCTCTATTAAGATTATGGCCGTCGCGTTTTTGTGTGATAAGGTCTTCCCCATGTTTATTTCTATCAGTGTCCGGGACCTGGTAAAAACAACGGCATTGGAAAATTCCGGACGAATCTTTGTGGATAATACTTCGAGGTAATAAAAATAAAGAGCACCGTTTTAGGTCAAAAAGCCGGATAAAATTTCGACTACCCGGGATGGCCGTACTTCAATTCTGTAAATTTATACACGAGTTCTTCGGGTAGTTATTACTAAGTTGTTTGGGAAACGGATTTTTTGCTTTTTTATGTAAACAAATTGTTTTTTAATATTGTTAAATTGTCAAACACAATTTATTCAATTACAACAAACTGAATTTTTTAAATAAAAATCGGTTTCCCAAATAACCTAGTAAAATAGTCAAATAATTTGAATATCTTTGCAAAACTGAAATCTGATCATTCTTAGTAGGAGTAATTTTGTCAAGCTTATAGGCTCCAAAAAAACCAAGTAGTAAGGATTTTACTCATAGAAGAAATGATAACAAAATTAAACAAATAACTCGAAGCTTATACAAATTAACCGGAAAATTAATTAACATAATGTCGAAATTTATTCCATTTAAAAACCGTTTTTTTCTTAAATATTGCCTTTATTTACCTCCTTAAAAACAACCCGCTTCTAATCTCCTTAAGCAACATGATTTCTAAGTTTGTTGCCACATGACTATAATAATAATGGTATGTGTAGACGTGGACTTGGACTATTTTCCTAATTGTCTCGATTTTCAACGATAAGCCTAATAACCGCCATCAACACCAACAGTTAACATATAAAATAATTCTATACTTCTAGATGAAACAGTTAACAAAAATGATAACGGATCAACAATAAATTGGAAACCATTTGTTTACCGGCCGTGGTCAAATAAACTCTTTTCTGTTTGTAATTTCTAGATCCGCGCCCTTGTACGTGTAAGATCGAGTATTGAACAAAAGAAACAAGATCAAAATAAAATTATCGAATAATTAAAACGTACCCTAAACGATTGCTTTAGTCCACCATTATCTGCTATGTTTTCACCTTGTGTCATACGTCCGTTTACATGTATGTTTACCTCTTGCATTTTATACTTGGAGTATTGGTCTACCATGCATTGCGCCTTCTCCCTGAACGTTTCTATAGTATCGGAATCCCACCATTCGAGCAAGTTACCGTTTTTATCAAACTGCCGGCCTTTGGCGAATTTTAACAAAAAAAAATAATAACATGATTACATTGTTTATTGACATGATTCAAATAACATGTTGCCGAATTTTGTATTCAAACCTTTATCGTCAAATCCGTGGGTAATTTCGTGACCGATCACCACTCCGATACCGCCATAGTTTAGCGATTTGGGGAAATGTTGGCTGTAGAATAAAGGTTGAAGTATCCCAGCGGGGATAACTGATAGAAGAAAAAAAATGTCACATTAAGTATACAATTGATGAGTTTTGGTGACATTGCAATAGGCAGAGATCAGACTTAACCCTCCCTCCGTCAACAATTGAACCGAAGCTAAAGTCATTGCACCAATATAATATATATTGTGCTAAGCAGAGCTTATGACTTGTGACTTTAAGTTTTAATTGAGAAACTATTTTAAAATTTAATTTTTCGATTGTGTATTAGACATTGGTAATTTACTTTGTTTAATAGTTAATAGATATACAACTTATACAACAAAACTATACAACGATTTTAATTTATATTATATTCATTTAAATTTTAAAAGCCATCTTCAGAAATAAAAGAGATGAATAATAATTAATATTAAGAATATTATTTTATTACAATACCACAGTTTAAAATACTATAATAGATTAATTGTTAATGAAAATAATAGATGAAACAACGACGGAAATATTTCACGATTTTAGAATAAAACAAAAGAGTAAGTATAACATTTTATATTTAATAAATAAATTAAAAAAAACACGAAAAGCAATCATAAATAATATGTATAAAAATACGTTTATGTGATACAGATGGCTCCTTTAAAATGAAGAGTGCAAATGATAAATCGTTTAAAGACTAAAGAATTTAAAAAGACTTTACAGGGAAGTAAAGACAAAGCAACTGGTCAAGATAAGATTCGAGTTGGACAGGTATGTATGTATAAGTTATACAGTATAACTCGATAAGAACTTATAGACTTGAGAAGTTGTTTACATTTTGAGATACTTTAAATGGATTCTTTGTACTTCTTGGCATATTTCATAAGTAGCACTTAAGACCAGGTAAAAAACAGAAATTAGCCAAGTAACTTAAGCCGCAACAATTTTGATATTAAAACCACACTAATAATGTTTTCAGCGAAGAAATCTCTACAAATATATTGTAGAGATTGAAACCTAATACTTGATGTCAAATTTAAAAAATGTAAAATAGAAACCCTATAATTAAATTGTACTGAATTTACTACTCTATGTACTATTCTAATTCTAATGTTAGATCTCTGCCTTTGAACAATCGTAACAATATACTGATACAAGTAAAAAAAGTGCACCTATATGATTCTTATTGGGATTGTAAAATGCATTGACGATTGCTGGTTCCGTTGACCATTTATCTTTATCGACTGGTAGTCTCAATTTTTCCAAATTTTGCAAAGCATCAAATTGTAAAACGTTAAACACGTTTACAATAAACTGATCTTCGGTAACATTTAACTGAAACAGGTCACACAGACATTATAAATTTAACCACTCGCAAAGGCTCACCAATTACCATAATATATTGGTTGTCTAATTCATGGGGGTCTGTCAATAAATCTGGATAGCCTATCCGTTCTTTCATAGCTTCCGCCTTTTCTCTAGCAACCACCCTTGTTTCATCATCCATCCATTCATTTTCATTAAGAAGCTCATTGAACGCTTCACGAATCGATTGGATCATGTCCATGGCCGTTACCTAGAAATAACATAAAACCATATCATTTTGTAATTCGGCATTATTAATGTGTAGATGAGATTTCATAATAATATGGTCAAAGAAAACACACGGTTTTTATATAAATATCAGTTTCCAGAACCTAGATAAATATTGTTCATCTCACTTTGCTTTCCAAGCTGAAATTATCCCTTATGAATAACGCCCCAACTGCCATTCCAAGTTGTTTGTTAGTCCAATCCACACAATCTCTCCATCTACTCCGTTCACTAAGAATGCCCAACAAAATCTTCTTAAAATCTAACCTCTTGTACTGGTATTCGTCTATCATATGGGGAAGCACCGTGCTTTGAACCAATCGCCAAATAACATAGTTGTGAATAATCCTTTCAAAAAATTGTATGTTTTAACGTATTATCCAATCATTTTAAACAATTATATAAACAAATAAAATAGCAAACACTGTAAAATAGCAACAACACACACAATTAATCGTTGCCCAGATAACATACCTTCTATCAGTTTTTTTCATTAGAAGTCCTAGTTGTGTAAAATATGTCATGGCGTAACTGACGACGAGCTCGTCGCCTTCAATATTAAAATTCAAAACATTCCTGAAGTATAATAACCAATTGATATCTGGAACTTGGTTCTGGAGTTCATTTAACGAGAGTTTCCAATAAGTCGTCCCTGGCGTTGGCTGATCAGTCTCCGCCGAAGTAACCTAAATTTAGTAATTTAGAAAAAAAAAATTAATAATTGTAAAACCATCATCTTGTCGATTACTCGTCAAAACTAGAAATGCCTAAAGACGTACAATCACATTTTTGATAATCTACTCACATTTGCCAATTCAATTTCAAATTCAATTATTTTTAAAAGTTCCAAAGGTGCAGTGGATTTATTAGCCCCTAATAGCACTGCTACTTCAGTCATGTATTTATGGTACGCTTGCAATGCTTCGGCGCTACTGTCCTTTAAAAAATAATCTTTACTCGGCAAACCTAGTTGCATTTGATCCAACTAAAATATACAAAATGTACTCAATAATATGTAAAACGACTTTTTTAATGCACCTTTAGCCAACTATACTGTACTATGCTATACTATACTAGAATATACTATAGTCTATACGAATCTACGTAGGTATACAACCGGACTGCCTTAGTAGTAGTTACTTTTGTAGATGCGTACTACATTAATTAATGTCTTACTTTTTTCGCACCTGAAGGATGTTAATAGAAGAGTTCTTGTCATCCGGACCGACCCATTGTTCAATCATAATTCCTTCGTTAAAGTCTTTTTTTAGTCGACCTAATAATACTTCAATACCGTAATCGGGCGGTTGCCAATTTTTTTCCACCACCGGCCAACCACCAAGTGATTTCAAAAGTTCCCGAATAGGCCTGTCTCCGACACGCCTGATTTGAGCTACAATATTGATTTTTATAAATAAAAACTTTTCAATTTTTTTTAACTTTTGTATTATTGTTACAAACGACTTACTGATGTCCATGCAAGATTTGTAAAACAATTTTGCTTTTATCGTAGCTGAGCTATCAAACCGATTGACCGATTCCTCCAACAGACCTAGTTAACAATCGAAATTAAAATATAATGTTTTATACTCAAATTTTATTAGTACTAAAATTTATGAAGAATTCGTTCAGGTGGCTTCATAAGTCCCGTTAACTTGCCTTTTAAAATAATTTGCAAGCGATCGGCAAGTACTTCAAATGTATTGATGCTACTCTTGTCTTCCGGTATCAAGTGTCTTTTGTCCCAAGTACCGCAAGCGTATTGGTAGAAGTCCTCGCACGGATCAGCTGATTGGTCCATAGCAGATAGCAATGAAGCAGCTAAACACATAATAATATAATATAAATAATTCTATAAAATTATACATCTTGTTCTCAAAAGATAAATGCATCTCTTGAGACATGTATTATATGTATTAACTGGGTTGTACAAGCAGGAGACAAATGATGAATATGAATATGGATTTTTCTTAGCTATGTTAATTTATAAGCTTGCAATTTCTAGCTTTACCCGTCGTGCCTAGTTTTATGTTTACAATTTTAGATTATTTCTAGTAGAAAAAAAGGGCAATAGTGATTAAATATTGTGATAATTGAAATTCAAAAGATAATTATATTTACTGAGGATAGGGTTCCCTAGTCCGCATAATATAGTATATATAGATAACATCTAGTTATTTTCAAATATAGCTTTAGTATAATTAATCCCAAATAGACAAAAAAAAAGACACTAAATCATAAAAAAAAAAAATTATAAAATATAAAAAAAATATTTGTGTTTAATCATTTAGCGTGGACGGTACAGTGTAATCGATCAAATTTGCTTAATTATTAATTATACTAAAAGTCCGAGTAATTAGTTTTTGTAAAAAAAACCAACGTTTTCATTTTATAACCGTAATAAAAACGTAGTAACTATATAATAAACCAAATATTTTAATTTATTTAACGCATGTAGATCACAAATACTAGCCAAGTAACCTTTTAGGTACTCAGACACACACGCCAAGTCGGGTTTTCTTTTATAATTACATTCCTAGTTGATCAATATATATGCTCATTAAACGTTACTTATGATTAATATTATAATTTAGCTAGCGACGTAACGGATTAATTTGTGTCCACAACTGGCTAAACACTAATTGGCTAAGAAGTCTCAAAATTATATATAATTTTACAGATGCGCTTGTACTTACCAGCGCAATTACGATTTAATTATTTTAATTAGTTTGCTAATTTTCGAACACTCTCAGTACGTCTTGAATGTAATTTAATTTAAAAATTAACTTTTGATTTTTACCTGACTGCAAAGGAGGAATGTAGGTTAATTGAAAAATAATTGAAAAATTAACACGTTGACTGCCACGCCTAATTCAGTGTGTTATCCATTGACGCCACAATATTTTTTTACAACTTTAAATTTTATTTCTATTATTAGACCCCACATGGCCCACTTAAAAATTCTACTGAGGGGCAAAAATGACCCTCATAGCAGTCAACGAGTTAAAAACTAAAATCGTAGCGCCTTTGTATAAAAATATAAATTTAGGTGTGTGTAAGTTAACACGTGATACAAATATCATTAAAAAAGTTTACAAAACTAAAATTTGGCATGGAAAAATTTGCCTATATTTTACCCCTTAAGGGAATTGAAAGCGGACGGTTTTAAGGGGTTTTATATAGGCAATATTTAAGAAAAAAAGCGTTTCAATCAATTTCGACCGTCCAATTTATTTAGAAAAAATTACGCCTACTTAGAATGACCGGATTTTAGTTGTGTACAAATAATTTAGAAAACATTTTAGCATACAAATAGGATTTAAAATCTAATTGAAAAATATCAAAAAATCGATTCCCCCAATTTCCTAGAAAAGTGGTTATTTATTAATTTAAAACATGATGTATTTAAAAATTACCTGTTTTGACGCATTCTTCCTTCATGCAGATCTTTTGGTTTGGGTTAAACAACGCTTTAACTAGAAATTAAACATTTTATATTTTTATTTATGTTGCGATTTGTCGGAGGTTTATAGTCAAGTGTCAAGGATGTTTCAAAGACGGCCAAAACACATAATCGTGTTCGTCTTTGATTTCTAGGTCGTGCAAATGACGGTTTTTTTTACTATATAAGAGAACACAACCTTTGTAATTATTAACGTCACCACACGCTTATTGTTAGACAATTGATTTGCGATTTTAAAATAATACAATAACGTGTCGGGCGATTTTAGTATTGTATAAAATATATTATAGCAGAAATCATTTAGACTATTATCGTAGACGACTCCATAATAAAACAGAAGGTACTTTATAGGATGTAGCTAACCTAGAGATTTGTTCAACGCTAAACAGGCTCGGGTAACAGCTAATTGAAGGTTATATTATTGTTAATTATTTCCGGTTCGACGCGATTCTCGGGTCAATAGGAAAGCGGAGTTGGAATCAAACTCCGTTACATACAATTTGGTAAAATAGGTATATAATTTGTTTTTGCCCATTTCGGTTGGTTAAGCGTGTAGGTTAACAGCTGCGCTGGAGCTGTTTTGACACGAATTAAATATATTTTTTACTGACCTTTAGGCTTTTCCTTTGTAGTGTTTGTACAGTATATACAATCGATCTTGACCACCAAGTATGTCAGCGAGGCAAGCAACGTGAACAAAATGATTAGACACACAAACAGTATTATCCTCTCAGTCACCGTCTCGGGCACCAGTATCCGGTAACAGGTGGATCCGAATTTGTGCTTAGGCTCGGCCATAGGGCTGACGTCGCGGATCCGGAACTTGCACGTGTTCGGTCGGTCGTCGGCCGATATCACCCGGACTTCCGGCAAAAGAGACGTCGGATACTGGCAGCCCAAGTACCCGTTGTTCGTGGTTTCCTTGTCTTTGGCGCTTGCCATTTCCGGATCGCCGCTACTGCAAGGTGGCTGAGCCAAAGACGACCCTTCTATGCACGTGGCAGGTGTAATGTCTGGCGAGATGTTCGTCATCGTTGGGTGTGGGTTTCGTTTTTTTAATTACAGCCGATTTTCAAAGTCCACGTGGTTTTCGATGGTTATGCAGACAATTACAAAGCGAATTGTGGTCATTGTGGACAACAAAAAAACCTATAAACGATAAAAAAGGCAAACAGTTTAGTCTTTAAACCGCATTCGAAAATTTGGACGTGACGCGTTAGATATAAAGATAGTTATTAGTAAAAAATAAAAAATTGATATTTTTATTTGTATATACCTACAATTTTTTAACCCGTTCTGATGGTAATAATTTTATAAACGGCCTTATTAAATGTTACCCATCGCACGCAACACGTTAAAATATGTCTCACGGTTTCAAAGCCGAGGTAGGAACACTCGAGTTAAAATAATTATACAAATTAAAATCACTATGCCATCTTTACTCATGCATCTCGCTAATGATATTGACAAAAAAAAATTTACAAAACGGTGTACCTACTCGCATGTGTTAAGTCTTATTAAAAATGTAAATTTTGTTTTATAATTTTTACAACAGTAGTGACTATCTTGAAATTTAAAAACGTATTGGATGATATTTGCATAGTTAGTGCGATTTCTTGAACTTAAGTGGTGGTTTCTTTTTTTTACCCATTATTTCTCATAATGTCATTGCATATTTTACGGCTCAAATACACATCCGTATCTTCCTGTACATACTCAAGCGCAGTTAATTATTATCTCATTGTCATTATGATAAATAAATACACCTAATTTATAGTCACGCCATCCGGTTTATCATATTATTATTGTTGTTTTGTTGTATTAGTAACAACTTTATCCACACACTATATTATACTCACTAAATTGTTTGATGGCCGAGATGTTGGTAGATTTGGCACTGGCGGCGACTAACTTCCCGAGACACTTCAAAGGAAGTTATCGGCAGACAAGCAACGGCTGTTGTGCGTTAAAAAAACAAGCCGACTGACCTGTGAGCTGTGCGCGAATGAACTCGGCTGATGTACTTAGGCATTATTGTTATTATTATCATTCGACAACCTTCGACTACTTTCGCTATGGGCACGCGCTTACTTTTTCGCGCTGATTCTCTCAGCACGGGTACCAATCAATGCTGGTTCCTTCCAGACGGATAAATTCACAATCCTTCAACGGATTCCGACTGTCCCTGTGGCTAGAGTACTGTTGCAAATCGTCCGCGGTCGGACTGGCAAAAGCGGAAGTCTCTGTAGTTTATCGAAGGCAAAAAAAAACAAACGTTAACACAACTGGACGTCCGCTACCTGTGTCGCTTATTGATATTGTCGACGATTCGATTGTGCGTAAACTTAGGGGGGCGTCAAGCAAATTGAATGGCCGAAGACCGAAACTTAACTCGGGATGCTGCACTGTGGCCGGCGACAAGGTTATGCAATCGATAAACACGAGAGAAACTTGTATAGTTGTAATACTATGTACTAGATGGGGCTGAGAATATTGAAATGCTTTTTTCAACTCTTGGTAGTTTTGGCGTTTTGCACCGCACGAATACAACACATTTACTTCCAGTTAATACGGCGGTAGGTACAAGGGACTGTGGGGGCTTAAGTCCCTACCTTATGCACTTAAATTGTTTATGTATATTTGTATCATTATATAATTTATTAGAATATTTCTTCTTTTATCAAAAACGTGATTATTATAGATTCATTATCACTTTACTTAGACGCATCGATTTATGTTAAAAAAAAATGTAGTCCCATTACCAGAAATTACTAAAATATTATTGATTTTTATAAAAAGGGTCTAAGTCTACTATACTTAAATGCTTATAATTTGGACTGCGTTTTAAAATAATAATGTTGTTTTACAGAATATAATTTTACTGTTTAATAACTATTAACTTTGATAAAGCCCTTATATGTTGTTGCATTTTGAAACATATCAAACGTTTTTTTCATTTTTCCAAAAGTTTAAAGTCAAGGACTAAGGCCCTTTTTGCATGAAGCGATTCAAATAACCTTATGTTCATTTTAAGCCCCACAAAGAAAGTCGTAGGTTAAATGACTTAGTAAATGTAGTAAATAAATAACCCAGTAAATGACTTACAAGTTACAAAAGTCATTAAGAGGGCGTCGCACCGCTCATTTTTAAGGAACAAAGTATAGGCAATTTTTTACAAAATCTTAATTTAAAGGTTAAACTAAGATGTGTAATTATTAGTTCAATAACTAGGACTCTTTTTTGGTAGTTAATTTATTTTTTGGACTATCACAGCATCTTTGAAAGCGATTTAAAAATGTTTTTCATCTCAACTTGTTTAAGCAGACTGAAAATAACTCGCTTAATTTTGGATTTAGAGTAAAAACACCCATTATAAAATTAAAAGAAAACAATATTTCGGAGAGCAAGACGGTGCGTTTTTTTCATTATTCTAAGTATAACGCTCAATACATAGTTTAGAAATAACGACTATTTTAATATTTTTAAATTACTGTAACTTTCCAAAAAATTAATTTTAAAAAAAAACGCACCATCTTGCCCTCCGGAATATTGTTTTCTTTTAATTTTATAATGATGCTTTTACTCTAAAACCAAAATTAAGCGAGTTATATACAGTCTGCTTAAACATGTTTTTACCACAGAAAATCACCGGTGCGACGCCCTCTTAAAGATTTAAGTATTTTAGCTTTCGTGTGTAGATTACAGTGCATTCAATTAAATGTTGATGTTGTTGAACGAAAGACCGAAATTTCAAGTAAGACCTTCTATGGCTATGGCAAATAAAATAACTCTTCTATATTTTTAAATCCAATTTCATGAGCACTTTTCCGATAACGGAACCCCCCCCCCCTCCCCTCTATTTTGAAGGGTCACATAGATATTTTTTTAAAATTGAGCCCCGTAACCAAACAAGTCAAAAACTCCATAAAATAGGGGACTACAGGTGCCATTGAAATCGTTGATGCTATCAATTTTTTTTTTATGATTTAGTTAACGATATCACAACTTTATAGTGCTAAAAATACTCGTGGGTCAAGTTGGCAACGGCACATAATGATAGGACTATAAAAATTGTACCAAACTTTTCCTAGGAATTTTTTTTATAGTACTAACATTATGCGCCGTGCTACCTTGACCTACATTGAAAATACTTATACAAATGAAATTAATGTTTAAACTTAATGAAAAACAGATAATAAAATTAAACAATACTAAATATCTTCACCAACTAAATGATAACAATATTGAGTATTATTTTCGGTTTATTTTTTATTACAATGTTAATATTTATACTTAACTCGTGGCGATCTATGTATAATACTGTACACTAGATAACAATTTGTTTTAAATAATACTAATAAACTTTTTTTTTTGCTATTGTTAATGCCAGTTTTTTATAACAATTAAAAACAAGTTAACTAGTGGACTGGTCGTAGCCTAGAGTCTAAAAGTCATAATGTTATTTTAAGTTAGTACCTTCAACTTAATCGAAGAAAATTATCAACTATTCTCTAACTATCTAAATATATGATAAGTACAAAATTAAAATTGATAATCAAAAATTGGACGTGACATGCTACATACAATGTTAAGACATAAGATACTGCCATACCTATGAATTAGGATTTATTAAGAGACAGTATGATCAGTATAGACAGTGTTCCAGTTTTCACATATTCTTAATTTAAAATTGCTGTTTAAGTAATGTACTCTATAATAAGGTAAAACTCTATAAAATGGTAGCACACTTATGCTATATATATTTTTTTTAATATTCCATGGTTGTATGTGTGAAAACATTAAACATAAACAACATATTATCCACAAGAGCTCCTTGTGGTTCGTTGATTATTATCAGCTAGTTATGACTTATAAAAAAACCAATAAGTGTCTTTACTCTTTAGGTTAGTTATTGCTGTTATTTCTTATTACCAATAAAAATTAATCACATCAAAGCTAAAAGATTATTAGGATTTTGTTGAGAGTTGTCTGTCGACATGATATTATTTCTTAGAATAAGGTAATAGCTGTTATTACATAATTCTCATATCTATAGTTTAATACTTCTTGCCAAAAAGTATTAAATGGTAGATTTTACCTTGAAGTTCTTGGTAAATTACAATAATAGTTGTTTAAAAACTCAAAATAATAATACTTCATACTTGTTTTACTTTTAAAATTGAGCGTGCAAGTATTTATTTTTGGAGATTCATAATAATGATAATAAAATAACTATCTTGCCATTAGGTTACCTAATTTGGGTAGGATAGTACATTTTTCTTAGATTTTAACTAATATTCTAATAATGCTTACGGACTTAGAGTGGGTATATTAATATTTTAATTAACTTGCTGATGTGTAAATTTGATTTTGTTTCAAATTCAAATGTATAATAATATTAAAAAGACATACATAAAGCAGATTTTTTTTCATTATAAATACATTTAAAAACCTATGCTATAGTATTTATAAAAAAAACGAAAACAAGTGAACGTTAAATGTTAAACTATAATTATAAACAATTTATTCAAATTCGTAAATAATACGTTGTTGACTTTTTTTTTTTTAAATTATTCATTGGAAAGCTTTATTAAAATCTGAATCAAAAGATACGGTTATCAAACAAGTATGGACGCCTGTTTCATTATTTGGACAAGGATAGGGATGAAGGGGGTTCGGTCTACCATTCCTTCCCTTGTTTATGTACATACATTTTCATTAAAAACCCAGCGATCGATAATTCTGTTCCCTTAGTGTCTGCATTGGCTTTCTTGGGTTTTTTTTAAATGTGGTACTTTGTTAATGGAGACGCCATATTGAGTGGTGCAACATGAATGCAAGTAACAAATGGCATAAGGAAAATTTTAGAATTAATCTAATGCTCGAACCCGGATGGGTGACCACCATGCCTTAGCTGTTAATTGAACCATTGATTAAACATAAAATATGTATGCGAGTAATAGGCAAAGTTAGGTTCATTATAATCGCTTACTCCAAGTAAAATCTACAGGCCTCGACGTGGGCGGTTCAATGTCTGTGTGTAACAAAGTAGTGTTCTGTTTTCCTGTTTTTTAAAGTCGGAATTCACGTGCCGACGACGTGCAGGTAGGTAAATGTAATAATTATTATTGTATCCAAGTGTAGTACCGAGTACCTATATACCGACATTGGTGCATAATATGGTGGAGGTAAACAAAGACCGATTGGCAATATTTTCTCGAGCACCGTCAGGGAGTAGGACGACGGACAGTAATAACGTCCGTTGTAGTACCTATTCCTGTTTTCTTTCTTGACGGGATTTTTAGGTTCCTTTTCTTATATGATAATAAATATACTTATATATTTTCCAAGAAATATAATAATAATTTGCCCTCCCACCTCGCCCGCCCGCCACAGCACCTGCCGCGGTCGCCGGTCTCGTGCGGTTGTTTTTGTTGTCGGCCCGACCGTTTCCCGCGTAGTCCGCTGGCCGAACCGCGGCGCTGCTCGGCGCTCTAACGACTGCGCACGCGCACAAATGCCGATCGCGTCTTTTTCCCCGTGTACGTACCTACTCCGCCAAAGACAATAACCAAACAACGCAAACCGTTCCGCGAGCGCGTTGTTATTATTTATTTATTTTTTTCATGTTTCGTTAAATTTTTTGTCGTTGTCGATTTTCCGCGCGTTGGCTTTCCCGCGGCCTATGGTGTCCGTCTCACCGTCCAGTTAACACGCACCAACAGCAGAACATCCGTTTTTTTCCCCGTCGTCCGCGCGCCGTGCCTGTCGGCGTCCGATGTTATTCAACGTGCACCACAGCGGCGACCAGTAAAAAAACAACAACAAATCAACACCGGCGATGGCATCGGACGAGGAAGTCGAGGAGTCGTACACCGGTAATTGCGAGATTTTGTTGTCCGGTTCCGTTTCCCCGGGCCCTTTTCCCCTGTCCGGCCTGTGCCCGGCAGCAAAACGGTCCCGGCGTCGGCCCGTCGAGTATCGCTGGCGACCGCCAGCCGCCTCGGCCGGGCCGCCGCCACGTTAATTAGCTCATTAGGGCCGCGTCGCGAGTTTTTGCAAATGGGGCCAGCCGCCGCAAACAAGATGGTGGAACGCGCCGCCAACCGATACCGCGTTCGGCGGCGCGGCCGTTTAACTTTTGACTTTGCCGACTTTTAGGTTATGCATATCAACGATTTTCGAGGATAATCGGTTTTTGGGATATTGTAATTTTGTGCGCGAAACCGATAAATTTCTGATTACTCGAACGTGCCATAATAATGATATTATTAAAAATGACGTGCCTAAACCGTTGGGTATTGATGACCCTATCAGTCACAACAATGTTAAATTTTAAACTGTCAACATTTAAATACACACATATATTGTTGCCACAAAACGGCTCTGTTGAATATAATAACCACTGATTATCCAAAAGATAATATCCACTGTTTAGAAATTAGGATTGACATCTAGGTTTGAATTCAATTGGGAATTCTAACATAACTAGTAATTGCAATATTTCGACAATCGCACTATGCGTAGTAGTAATACAGATTTATCGACTCGTAGAATGTTTGTCAAGTTGATTTTTGCAACTCGCTCGGGGAATTGATAATGTTTTTCAAATTGATATGCCTTAGTACGACACAATAATAATCATCACGTAATCTTTTTTGTTAACTTTTAATTAGTTTCTAGATTTTGGCAATTTGACTAATAGTCTATGTATTAGATAACTGTTGGTTAAACAATATTTACATTAAGTCAACTAGATAAGCATATTGGGTATTTCAATATTTACTTATTATCATATTTATCTACATTATAAATCTCCATAGCGCATGAATTCGAGTATTATTTTGCAAGTCAAAATTTTTAGGTTACAATATTACCTAGTCAGAAATATATAGTTAATTTTGTCGTGTGAACTCGAAAAAAATTTAATAACAATATTATATGTTTGTTGAAATTTCTAAAAAATTAAAGTATTCTTATATTTGTTTTATTTTTCTGTAGAAGATTATGATGAACCTTCTAGTCGTGTTGAAAACTCATTTGACTCTGAAGAAGATAAACGTGTAGAGGTACGCATTATTAGAATATATGTATTTGTGTTTAATTATTAAAATTCACAATTTTCTTCTAAACCATATTATGTATCATTTTTAGGAAGATGATGATGAATACGATCCTGAAGGTCGTAAAAAAAAGAGAGGTAAAAAGCGTAAAGCAAAGAGTGATTCTAAAAAGGAAAAAAAGCGTAAGAAAAGGAAAAGAGGTGGTGACAGTGCAGAGGTAATTATTTCTTCTAGTGTGTTATTAACTAACTATTTTTGAATTATTTTAATGCTAACATTTGTCCACATATTTACAGGAAAGTGATTTTGGTAATGTAGAAGAAGAAAATAATACTGCTAATGATTCAGATTATTCTAGTAGAAAGTCTAAAAAGTCTAAGAACTCTTCTAAACATCATCAACCTACTCCGACCACTTCTCAAAATCAAGATAATAATGGCAGTAAGAATTGTTCTATATATATATCTATATAAATTTAACAATTTTTGATTTCTTAACTTATATTTTAATATTTTAGCTGGAATGCCTTCAGTCGAAGAAGTCTGTCAAACGTTCGGTTTGCAAGATGTAGATATTGAGTACTCTGAAGCAGATTTCCAAAACTTGACCACTTACAAACTATTTCAGCAACATGTCAGGCCAATTCTTGCCAAAGAAAATCCAAGGGTAAAATTGGTTTGTTTTTTGTTATTATATTTTATTATAACTGTCTAATTTTTTTCCATTAGGTCGTGATTGCTAAAATGATGATGTTAGTGGCCGCAAAGTGGCGTGATTTTTGCCAGCAAAACCCTAACCACGAGCAAGCAGACTTTGAAGGTGCCGAAGAGCCAGAATATCAACCTAAAAGTTCTTCAAGGCATAAGGTATAGATAAACATAATAATAAGAAAACTATTATCTATTAAGTAAATCAATGTGTTTTTGGAATTTTCCAAAATTATGTTATGCTAGGCTTGTTGATTTTTTTAAAACTTAAATTATTTTAAAGCCTTTTGAATGACTACAAAAATATATGTTCTATATTTTAGGCTAGATCTGTTGATGAAACAGCAGATGAGGTAGAAGAAGAAGAAGAGGTTGAAGTAGAAGTAGAGGAAAAAAAAAGTAAGAAGCGTAGTAATCGAGGCAAACGTAATACCGGAGGTGGTGGGAACAAAAGAAATTCTCAAGGATCTACGTCAAAAGTACCTACCTTGAAAATACGACTTGGCAAACGAAAACAAGCAAGTTCTGTAAGTAAATGAATATTTTTATAAAAGTATATGGATATCATTAAAATTATGTTAATTTTTTTTTATAGGATGAAGACGCTGAAGGTACTGGCGCAGGAGATAATGCTGGAGATTCAGACGCAGAGTTTGAACAGATGTTGCAAGAGGCCGAAGAAGGTGCTTTTGCTGAGGCTGAAGCGTCTGATAAAAAAGATGATCCCGACGCGCCCAAGAAGAAAGCCAAAACTAAAATTGGAAATAAATCGAAAAAGAAGAAGAAGACCAAAACAACGTCCAAGTTCCCGGACGGTGCTGGCGATGGAGAAGAGTTTGAGGTAAACAAGAAAAAGTTTCATAATAATTATTTCAAAATCTAACAATGAATTTCGTTTAGCAAACTGACCATCAAGATTACTGTGAGGTTTGTCAACAAGGAGGTGAAATTATACTTTGCGATACTTGTCCAAAAGCTTATCATCTTGTGTGTTTGGATCCGGAACTGGAAGAGACTCCCGAAGGTAAATGGTCTTGTCCACATTGTGAAAGCGAAGGTGGTCAAGAGCAAGAAGAAGACGAACATCAAGAATTTTGCCGGTAATATATTTATATACAGATAAAAAAAATGTTTTTTAAATTAATGTTCAATGCCTATTTATCACTATGCCTCGTTATTGTAACTACAGGGTTTGTAAAGATGGTGGTGAATTGCTGTGTTGTGACTCGTGCCCAGCAGCATACCACACATTCTGTTTAAACCCGCCCATTACCGATGTGCCTGACGGTGATTGGAAATGTCCTCGGTGTTCGGTAAGAAATAAAATAATAGGTCATTAGTTTTGCGTCATCTGAATTAATAATAATTTATTACTAGGCTAAACCGTTGCCTGGCAAAGTGTCTAAAATTTTAACATGGCGGTGGAAGCCGGTGCCTGAGGATACCAGTGTTAAGCCAGTGGACGAACAACAAGCGAGAATAAATAGAAGACGTAACAAGCAACAAAGACAGCGTGAATATTTTGTCAAATGGCAAGATCAAAGTTACTGGAAATGTGATTGGGTGTCTGAAGTGCAGGTAAACTAGACTAAATTGCTACTATGAGTGTTAAGGATACACAACCTCAGAATATTAAAAGTGCTCTAAATCAATTAAATTTTTTCAATACCAATATTTATAATATTTTTTTTTGCATTATTATTTGGTGTAAATTGTTAATTTTTGAGCAAGAACAAAGAATGTAAAAGTTTTTAACTTGTAAAAATATTGATTCTGAGAGTAAAATCAGCTGTAAATTAATCCTAAATATATTATCTCGTAATGAACACATAAAAGATACATTTTTATGTTGGTAGCACTACATAAAAAAATGTATTTTATTCTGAATGAAAAAGTTTTAACACTAAGTAATTTTTCTTTTCAGAATTATATAGGTTCCAATTATTAGGGTTTAAAAATGTTACAACATTAAGTGTTTAAAATGTAATTTTTTTATTATGTTATAGAATAACTGCGTAGTAAAATCAATGTAGTAAAAAAACTTATTTCATTTTTTACTTAAAAACATTCTTCTAAAAAATGACCAAAAATTTGTTACTTGCTTTTTATTCTGAGGCAGAGTTATGTAATAATATTTATTAATTTATGTATTGCCTTTTAGATGGAAGTTTTTCATCCTATAACTGTAAGAAGTTATATGCGTAAGTATGACATGGACGAACCGCCTAAATTAGAAGAACCATTAGATGAAATGGATAACAGGTGGAAAAGACTTCGTGAGGTCGGCGGTGATCAAATCGCTCTGGAAGAAAGATATTATAGGTACCTATTTTATGTCATATTTTATTTATAAAAATACATTTTTCATCACTTTATTCTTCTGTTTAGGTATGGCGTAAAACCAGAATGGCTGTTGGTCCATCGAATATTGAACCATAAACATTTGAGAGACGGGCGTATGATGTATTTGGTGAAGTGGCGTGACTTGCCGTACAACATGTCTACATGGGAAGACGAAAATTCTGAATATATTGATTTGAAAACATATATTGACTATTACTGGGTAAGAAAAATTTGATTTGTAAATTATACATCGATAATAATTTCCTACTTATATTTTCACTTGTACTTAACATAATTATTTTTTTTTAATGTTTTAGGAATTGAGGACATCTTGTGATTCTTCAAAAAAAAGTAAAAAAACAAAAGGCAAAAAGAGTAATGCCAAAAAAGAAACTGTTGAAGACGAAGACGCTCCTAAGCCTACACCGGGAATTACTTGGTAAACATCTTTATATAAATGTACATTTATATCGAATATAATTTATTATTTATATAAAAACCTTTAGCCGTAAATTTGTACCGGCACCTGATAAACCTGTAACAGATTTAAAGAAAAAGTATGAAAAACAACCAGATTATGTAATGGAAACTGGTATGGAATTGCATCCTTACCAGTTGGAGGGTTTGAACTGGTTACGATATTCGTGGGGCCAAGGAATTGATACGATTTTGGCCGATGAAATGGGTCTTGGTAAAACCATCCAAACCATAACATTTTTGTATTCGCTTTACAAAGAAGGACATTGCAAAGGACCGTTTTTGGTGAGTATATTTTTATTTTTTTTAAATTATTTTTAGCTCGATGCGAAATTGACAATGTATTGTTTTTGTAATACATTTGTTACAATAATTATATTTTAACATTTATATATATATATAAATTAAAAGAGTTATACATATATTATAGGTGAGTGTTCCGCTATCGACACTCATCAACTGGGAACGAGAATTTGAAACGTGGGCTCCAGATTTCTACGTTGTATCATATGTCGGGGACAAAGATTCGAGAGTGACAATTAGAGAACATGAATTTTCCTTTGACGATAACCGATCCGGAGTGCGTTGCACGAAAATCAAAGGAACTGTCAAATTCCACGTCTTGCTCACGAGTTACGAATTAATATCTATTGATGCTCCGTTGTTAGGATCTATCGAATGGGCCGTACTAGTTGTGGATGAAGCTCACAGGCTCAAAAGCAACCAGTCTAAGGTAATTAACGACAAAAATATATTTAATGTCCTTGGTCAACTAGCGTGGACCTAACGTGTGTTCAATATAGTTTTTCAGATTGTTAGCCGGTTACAATATACGTAATAAACTTCTTTTGACTGGTACACCACTGCAAAATAACCTGGAAGAGTTATTCCATTTGTTGAACTTTTTGACGCCCGATAAGTTTAATGACCTTACAGTTTTTCAAAATGAATTCGCCGACATTTCAAAAGAAGAACAAGTGAAGCGTCTTCATGAAATGTTAGGACCTCACATGCTCAGGAGATTAAAGGCAGACGTATTAAAGGTATGAGTATAACATTAATAGTTGAAGAAATTATTATATATTATGAAAAACAATACATTTATTTTCAGAACATGCCTTCCAAATCCGAGTTTATTGTGAGAGTTGAATTGTCACCAATGCAAAAGAAATATTACAAATATATATTGACTAGAAATTTTGAAGCGTTAAACCCACGCGGTGGTGGACAACAAGTTTCGTTGTTGAACATAATGATGGACTTGAAAAAGTGTTGTAATCATCCTTACTTGTTCCCGGCTGCTGCACAAGAAGCTCCGACGGCAAATAACGGAAGTTACGAAATCGGTGCTCTTACTCGATCGTCAGGAAAATTAGTTTTATTGTCTAAAATGCTGAGAAAACTACAAGAAACTAATCATAGAGTGTTGATATTTTCTCAAATGACAAAAATGTTGGATATACTTGAAGATTACTTGGAGGGAGAAGGTTACAAGTACGAGAGAATTGATGGTTCCATCACTGGAAATCAAAGACAAGAAGCAATCGATAGGTTCAACGCTCCTGGTGCTCAGCAATTTGTATTTTTACTATCTACGAGGTAAGTTAATGCATTTATTTCAAATTCCTTAGTGATCTAAGTAAAAAGATGCGTTTGAAGGTTTTTATTACATTTTTGTTGATTGTTAATTTTTTTTAAAAAAATTTAGGGCTGGTGGTTTAGGTATTAATTTAGCCACTGCCGATACTGTAATTATCTACGATTCTGATTGGAATCCTCATAACGACATACAGGCGTTTTCAAGAGCCCATCGTATTGGTCAAGCCAATAAAGTAATGTCCACAATATGTTAAGTTTTTAAGAGTCTATAATATATAATTGTATGTCATTTTATTTATTTAGGTTATGATATATCGGTTTGTGACGAGAAATTCTGTTGAAGAACGAGTCACGCAAGTTGCTAAAAGAAAAATGATGTTGACTCATTTAGTTGTGCGTCCCGGAATGGGTGGCAAACAAACAAATTTCACTAAACAAGAATTGGATGATATTTTACGATTCGGTACTGAAGAGTTGTTTAAAGAAGAAGAGGTAATATTAATCAGTGTTCTTTATTTAATTTATATATGTTGCCTAATAATAATTTGTATTATTTAGGGAAAAGAAGAAGAAGCCATTCATTATGACGACAAGGCCGTTGAGGAACTGTTGGATCGTTCCAAAATCGGTATTGAACAAAAAGAAAACTGGTCTAATGAATATTTGTCATCATTCAAAGTGGCCAGTTACGTCACTAAAGAAGAGGACGAAGAAGAAGAAGTTAACACTGAAGTCATAAAACAAGAAGCTGAAAATACTGACCCAGCGTATTGGGTGAAATTACTTCGTCATCATTATGAACAGCACCAGGAAGACGTGTCTAGAACGTTGGGTAAAGGAAAACGAGTCAGGAAACAGGTATTATTCTAAATTGTGATTTAATTATAATAATTATTGACGTTCATTACCGATTATATTTTCATATACTAATTTTATCTATTTAGGTTAATTACAATGACGGAGGAGGTGTAGTTGACTCTACTCGCGAAGACACTACTTGGCAGGAAAATTTATCAGATTACAACTCGGACTTCTCTGCTCCATCAGGTATGATTTCTTAATTGTCTTCCAATTTTCTTTGTTTTTGATATTGTACAACTCTAAGGTAATGACTGTAAAGATGATGACTTCAACGAGAATGATGGAGAGCCTGGTAAAAAACTCAAGCGGAAACCAGAACGAAAAGAAGAAAGAGATCGACCTTTGCCACCTTTGTTGGCTAGAGTGGGTGGTAATATTGAAGTGAGTAAAAATTCTTATTTTTTGGCAGTACATTTTAATAATACATAATGCATAGGTAGAATTAGTCTTCGTATGTTCTTTTAATTTTCTTCTATCACACTGAACAAAACATATAGTAGTTATATTGGTCAAATTTTCCAAAATTAAACTATGTTTTTACAGACATAATCAATTTATGTTTTGTTTAATCAATTTTGGTAAATAAAATGAACGAGATTTAGAATAAAATCATAACAAGTTATTTTGATTTTATTAAAGGCCTCTTTCAACATTTTTAAAAAGTAGAGATTTTTTTATTGAAATTTAAACAAAATGAACTGTTATATCGTGGTGACACTTAAAAACATAAATATTCATTGTCTTTATGGAAAATGAGGCAAGCACGTTTTTGAGTGCAGCCAGCTGTAAACCCCTCAATAAAACAAAAAACAAAATCCAAATTTATAGCGTCTAAGCCTCGATTGGAGGGATCAAAGGTAGAAAACGTGATAATGTCTTCACGCATTGCCAGTGTTAAACATAATGAAAAACGATAACAAAACAAGTAATTGAGTTTTTTTTTTTTTTTTAGGTACTTGGATTTAATGCTAGGCAAAGGAAGGCTTTCCTAAATGCAATTATGAGATATGGAATGCCGCCTCAAGATGCATTTAATTCCCAATGGTAATAGCAATATTAAAACTAATATTTGAATTTTGTCAATACTATTATATTGGTCATTTAATTTAGGCTCGTGAGAGATTTAAGAGGAAAGTCTGAAAAGAATTTCAAAGCTTATGTGTCGTTGTTTATGCGCCATCTTTGTGAACCGGGCGCAGATAATTCTGAGAACTTTGCAGACGGTGTACCCCGTGAAGGTTTGAGTCGCCAACACGTACTTACAAGAATTGGTGTGATGTCTCTCATTCGTAAAAAAGTAAGACGCAGCTAAACAAAATAAGGTCTATTAAAAAATATAGTTATATTACTCAAATTCAAGTATAACATTTTATACTTCTTACACTTTTCGATATTAATACTCGACTCTTAATTTACAAATAATTTATAGGTGCAAGAATTTGAAGAAATAAACGGATTCTATAGTATGCCCGAGCTTATTCGTAAACCTATTCAAACTGTTAAAGCTGACGTATCAACTAGTTCGACGCCAGTTCCGCGCTCCGAAGCTTCAACCCCGACGACTACTGTATCTGAAAAAACTGAAGTGGAAACTGAAACCAAATCGTCAGTAATTGTAAGAAAAGATATTTTAAATTATAATTGTATTCTTTATAATACATATATATTATTTATACAGTTTGTAGTATTAGATAGTACTGTAGCCACAGTTAAAAAATATCTTGTTTTCACTCTCCTATCTAGGATGTTGATAAGTTAAAAGAAACTGGAAATAGCACAGAGATTGATGTGGAAAAACAAACTGATCAAAAATCAGAAGAAAACAAAGACGAGGATGTTGCAGTTAAAACGGAAAACGAAGAATCTGCCAAAGCTGAACCAAAAGAAGTAGCTACTAAAGTAAGTATTTTATTTTATTTGAATATGTAAATTGTTGAACCTAATTTATGTGTCCAGATTTTTTAAATTAAATTTTATTGATTTTCTTTTGTGCTATTTATTGTGTGGGTATATTTTACCTATGTCGGGTATGATGAAACATTAATGCTGTGAGAAATATATGATATCTTTACTGCTAGATAGTATCTGACTCATTGGCTTATTTTAAAAAGTATGCCTGATTTTATTGAATGATAAAAATTCGAATCGGATATGATTATACAGTTTTTAATTGAATTCTATTGATTTCCTTTTGCAAGATAGTATCTGATTCGATTTAAGATAGCATCTTTATAGTGTGAATATATTTTACCTACCAATTGCTGTTGGGTATGATGAAACGTTAATGCTGTGAAAAATAAAATGATATCTTTGCTGCTAGATAGTATCTGACCCATTCAGCTTGTGTTTAAAAATTATATCCTATTTTAAATATGATTATTTATATAAGTTTGTTGTTTTATGCAAAATGTATATTTGTTTGTGAATACAAATATATATAAATATTATATATTATAGTATTTTAGTTGATTTACCAATTTTATAATTGTCTAGGAAAAGATAACAAATGAGGAAACTCCTATAAATAATGAAGTAAATGACGTTAAAAAAGAAAATTCTCAAGAAGAAGCGTTAACTGATAAAGAGAAAGAAAATACTGAAGACGCTGATATGGTAGTTGTTAAAACTGAACAAACCGAGTCCGATTCAACCGATAAAAAAGAATCCAATCCAGTAGATAAACTAGAAGGAGAAAATGAAGAAGTAAAAGATAAAGAAACTGAACCACAATCTACATTGGATAAAAAAGAAGTATGTACAAATTGTATAGTAATTGTATTTATATTTATTTGATGTCTTGATTTCGCTATTAGTTATAAACATTTAGGTACCAGTAATTTTAGCGTAAATGTTTGTAATAAATTTATCATATCGCAGGATGATAAGAAAACGGCCGAAGCATCATTAAAGGCACAACAATTAGATGACGAAGCTAAACGTAAATTAATGGAAGAAGCTGAAAAGGCAAAAGTAGCTGCGGGTATTGGATCTGAGAACGACAAAGAAGATAAAATAACCAGGAAATTTATGTTCAATATCGCCGATGGCGGTTTTACTGAACTCCATACTCTGTGGGTTAACGAAGAAAAAGCGGCTGTTCCCGGACGCGAATACGAAATCTGGCACAGAAGGTATAAAACAATATAATACAACTTCTCTTCTCCCTTATTGATTAATTTTATTAAATATATTTTTTTTTATAAAAAATGTTTAGACATGATTATTGGCTATTAGCCGGAATTGTTACACACGGATACGGTCGTTGGCAAGATATTCAAAACGATATACGTTTTGCTATCATAAACGAGCCGTTTAAAATGGACGTCGGTAAAGGAAACTTCTTGGAAATAAAAAATAAATTTTTAGCCAGAAGATTCAAGTTGCTCGAACAAGCGTTAGTGATCGAGGAGCAACTTAGACGTGCTGCTTACTTAAATCTCACTCAAGATCCTAATCATCCGGCCATGTCCTTAAATGCTCGTTTCGCCGAGGTCGAGTGTTTGGCCGAATCTCATCAACACCTATCTAAGGAGAGTTTGGCGGGCAACAAGCCTGCCAACGCTGTTCTTCACAAGGTATATTTTAATGTCATATACCGCGTTTTTATAAGAAACTTTTTTTATTAAAATGTGTGGTTGAATGTGTAGGTGTTGAATCAGCTAGAAGAACTTTTATCGGACATGAAGTCCGATGTCAGCCGACTTCCTGCGACACTGGCTCGCATACCGCCGGTAGCTCAGCGACTTCAGATGTCCGAAAGGTCCATTTTATCCCGTTTAGCAGCCACTACGTCTTCTGCTACTTCTAGTTCTCAATCGCAGCCTGGTGGTAAGTTTCAACACAATTTATATATAACTAATCAATTAGCGAGCAATGCGTTTATTTGTTAATTATTGTATATTTTATTTATTTAGTCGGAGCTATAAGCAGTCAGTATCCCAATGGCTTCCAAAATGGTCAGTTAAATGGTGCATTTGGAAACACAAACTTCACCAACTTCAGACCTCAGTATTCCGTGCCTGGACAACAGACCTCTTCATCTGGCACTGCTTAAATGACAATTTTGTATTTTAATATTATTTTGTATTACCTTTTTTTCTTTGTCTCTAGATCTCTCCATCTAAAAAAAAAAAAAAAACTCGTATGTCCGTGGCGATCATAATATTCTTTTGGTTATAATGTTTCATTATCTGATCTGTTCGATCGTTTTCATAATTTATACTATAAAAGCTTGAGTTTTATATTGAATACCACTGTATAAAATTCATGATATTACATGTATTTTTTTAACAATAACTAGTGACCAATATTCATTTATTTGCTGCCTTCGCAGTGTCCATATGACTCACAACTTGTACATATTTTTACTATCAAATAAAGTGGACACCTACATTAACTTAAATGTATTTACTTAAAAAAAATGTTTTAATAATATTTATTATTTTATCTTAATTTTTTTCTTATGGGTTTTAAATTGTATTATAAGGACATTTTCGATGATTTGAAGGAAACAATAAAAGTTGAGATAATTGATAAAAAAATGTATTTTGTGATTTTAGCAAATTTAAAATTAGTCAATCGCTCATTACTATTTTAACAATTTATACATAATTTCAATAGATTACCTAAGTACTTAGCTCGTTATTTGTTTATTTTGTTTAATTAACAAAATCTATTCATTATTGGAGTCCACATCTAAAACTGTTTATGAAGATTTATTCAATTTTATAAATAACTGAATGACAGTAGGTTTAACCATTGGTGCTGGGTAGCATGACCTTAACTGTTCCATAAACATAGTGTGGAACAATTGCACAGTATCCAAATTTTATGTTTTATGGTATAAATCAAGTTTACACAACCCAGCAAAGGTGTGTTAAAATACTGAAAAATATTCTATGATTATTGGATAAACGATTTCGTAGGAAGAAATGTGTAGTTAGTCTTGCAATGAGTTAGACAACAACAATGCATATATAATTAACTATTTTTTTTAATTTAATGTTTACAGAATTAACAATGGTAACATAAAATAAATTGGCAAAGCCAAACTAATTGTATTATGCGACTTGAACATTTATTGACGCATAATGTAACACTTGATTTTTGTTTATTATTATTATTATTAATAGCATTTTGTGTCTTAAACACAGAAAAATATATCGTAAGGTATATTTTTTTGAGGATAGTTGCAACCTTGTTGATCTATAAACACTAAATCTCTGGTGTTTACACCGAGTGCTTTCATTTTTTGAGTGACACAAACCCATACTTTTTCTTTGCCGGGCATCGGTTGTCTAGCCCAGACTATTATTATCGTCTCTTGGGACCCTAAAAATACAATTTTCATTATAATAGGTTAAATGTCTATTTACAAAACTATAATATAGTAAACAACTGTACAATTTATATTTAAATAACGCATAAACAATTTTTTTTTAAAACATTTATTTTTTTAGTGCATTAAATTTAAATTTCTTTTTACTGTTTAAAATAATAAAATATTATTTTCTGTATAAAAACTACCAAGTTATTATTTAAACACGTTATCACGTTCTGTTAAAATTTGTTCAATAAAAATAAAATTGTATTTTTTCGGTAAGTTTTTGTTTAAATAATTTTCGTATAAAAAATTGTTTTGAATAATACCCAGGTCTGGTAAAATTGATTTACCCAAAATATGTTGTGTGATCATAAAATTGTTCTCGTCAGTAGCTAAAATTCGAGTTTGAAAGGTCTTGAAATCTTAAAAATAAAACAATAAAGTTATTGAAAATAAAAATGAAAACCTATAAAGTAATAAGCCAATATATTACTTCCGTTTCCAGTAACTTGAACATTCGTGAAGTATCCTGAAATCGCGTCAGTTGGCATTACTGCGCCTAAAATATGACAAAATAATTACATCTATAAATTCAATTTTCGTTATTAATCATCAAATATGACTTCATCGTTAAGAAATTATTTACAAGAGGTTCACTGCATTAACAGACCAATGAAATGTATTTGTATCACACAATTCACAATTTTAGTTTTACCGTGTACTTTATTTTAAAAACAAGCGTTTCATTTAAGTAATTAAAAGCCATCATTACTTTATTTATTATTTTATTTTACTATGACATTTGGCTTAGATAATGGATACTAATGATAATTAAGCAATCATTAGGTTTTTACTTTGAAATAATTGATTAACTAAAAATAATTTTAAAATTTTGCCACGATCCATGCCTTGAAAATGTTATGAAAAATTCAAATTTTTTTTCAAAACTTAAATCGGAGGATTTTTGGGTAAGCTCTGTTCAAAGTAAAAACATATATTTTCGCACAAAAATAGATCATAATTGCATTACAAAACAAAAAATGAAAAAAAAATGTATTATCGAAATAGATTTTTCTTTCCTATGGTTATAATATGTACGTGATTAATACCTGTACAATTCGTCTTAATAAATGCACCTTTTATTGAATTGAGTTTATAAAGCAATTTTGTTAGTGTAAAGAAGAGGACAGTTTTAAATAAAACTTAATAAGGGGGGTATACTGAAAAGTTAAAATTTCAGTTAAAATCCAATTGGTTGTTAAATATACATATTTTGTTTTCGAACTATACCTACAACGAAACTGTTAAACTATTATTATACAAAAACAATAATTGTCGGGAGATGCACTTTTTTGAGGAGCTGAGTAGTTTTATCGTAAAAGTATAAGAATATGTTCTATATACAAATGACCGATAAAGACATTATTTAGCTTTTCACATGGACGATTTTCGATAATTGCATGCTGTGTTATAGTACCTGCATTGGATTTGTTAAATTTTCAAAGTTTTATTCGCTTTGGTCAAAATTGTTTTAGAAAAAAAATGTTTATACAAAATCTAGATTAAGAGTCGTTCTTTAATTGTGTATTGATGAACGACGTTAAAATCATAGATTACTATGCAGTGGAATAATTTTAATTTTAATTCATTATAATAAACTGTTTGGTTCTTCTGAAAAATGCATCTCCCGAAACATGTTTTACAAGCAAGTAAAAAGTAGTGTGGCGCCCTCTTATGTCCGCAGGTGTTATCACTGTCAACAAGATGGGCGGTAGAAGAATAGAGAGAATTTTTCTTGGAAGAAAAAATAACCCTATACAATATTTGATGGCTAAAGTTCCATGAATATCCTTCCTTTCGTTCATGCGTCCTTTCATCTCCCTCTTCGACCATATTTAACATTATGCGGTGGTGTAGTCTAAAAGGGAGCCCCCTCCCCTTTAATCTCCCCGGACTAAGAAAGCTAAAGCCCCTTCTCAGCAACTTTAAATTGTTTTTAAAAGTAAAAAATATTCTAAATAAATAGATTTACTGAAAAAACACTATGTGCAAACCGTATTTTAAAATTGGAAAAAGTTTTTGTAATTTTGTTGTTTGTTGTACGTGAGGTATTTGGTACTTGGTAGAAATACTTAAGAGTTGCACCAAAATATTTGAGCTATTGAAAATCAATAAAAAATACTATACTTACTGCTTAATAATATGGAATCGATTTCTAATGTTGAAGCGTTGGGTGCAATAGACCATGCTCCGATATCAATCACTTCTTCCATGCTCCTATAAAAAACGTTATACAAATTAAAACTTTGTTATAATCATTGATTTTATTGTCAAGTCAATAGTTCCAAAGCGTATTTAATTTATGGGTTATATTTAAATTGTCTCATTGAGTATTTGTGTACTGTTTATTTAGCGCGAACGTGTACAGCAACCATTCATTGTTTCCAAGTGGCGTAAAGTCTGCGCCCATACATTTGCAGGGATCTTTGGTATCTGTAACGTTTTTAAAATAATATTGTAAACAGTCACACACGTGGATTTATTAATTAATTATGGGGAGGCTAATTTTGTAATGATCAGCTATAGATATTTTAAAGTCATGAACATATTAAAATACACTTAAATTGTCAAATTTCTGAAGCGACTGGGCGTTATGATCAATCTGCAGTCATAACTCATAACACACTGATCACAATTTTAACATTTTATTTTAAACTAAGTATCAATTTTGTGGGCTCAGAGCTTTAATTACAAAAATCAATTAAAACTATTAGTAAATATAAAATTGTACTTAAAAAACAGGCAAGAGGACTAAAGCCCCCTCTCTGGATCCACGTGTGACCAGATATGATATACATAGCTAATTCACTTACTTGTCAAGTAGTTGCAACATTCTTGGTCTTGAACTGGTGATGCCATGACTGCGTACCATCGGTTACTTAGCTATAAATATTATTGTTAAGCGTTAGCTATGTGGCTGGAAAACAAATTGCTTAGCCATTATGTAAGTACTTAAATAGAGTCGTACAAGTGTATCTATAGAACTTGTCATGCCCATGGCGGATATAGGTCCATACTCTTTGGAAGGTGCCTGTACTCCATTTGGCACAGCGGTTAAGTCGTTGGGCGAGGCTGACTGGGTACTCGTTCCATAATCACATCTTGTAATGGTAAACAGCAGGGTAACCAAAAATAACGAAATCGTTAACATTTTATTAAACTTGACTTTTGCTAAAGTTGAAATGAAACCTGTTGCAATAAGTTCACTACTTAGTATAAATCAGTAAAATTAAATTTATATGTACGGTTTGTGTGGTTTTTTTTGTATCGATACGAACATTTGTCATTAGAGTTTTTTATATATTAATATTTGGCCATTAAAAATGATTTAAGTTTTCAATTAACCTGATAATTTAACCTAACAATTAAATTATAAAAAAATATATAATTTATGTATTTTGATAGGTAATTACGGCAGTAACAAATAATTTATTATTGTGGCTAATACGTATGTTTAGCTACATGTAAATCAATAATGTCACATAATATGTATTATAAGCTCGGATGTTTATCACTTTGTATATTTTTATAGTGAAATCAGAACTATTTATTTGAATCAGGTATATGTAAATTCGATTGACAAAGACTAGATTTAAATTCAGCAAACTTATATTGCATGTATTCTGATTACTTCTAGATTTAGTAGCATATGTGTAAGTATAATCGTTAAAAATGTTTCATTTTATTAATATCTTTAGACTTTAATCGTGTTTACGAGTATGAGCTAAAGAAAATTATAAGCAACATGAAAAAAAGTATAAAAAAAAAATTCTAGTTATAAAATATTGTCTAAAATTTCTAAAATAAACGTCATTGCTCTTTTAAATTTGAAAACATCACCAAATAATTGTTTAAAAAAACCTTTTTAAATATTTAATCATGTAACCTAAGTTACCCAAAGTTCCGAAAAATCATAGATGATCCCAAGATCAAAATAATATAAAAACTTTTTCTAAATAAGGTACTTTTTTAATAGAAAAGTGTTCTTATCATAAATTCGAATTCGTTTTTACGCAACTTAAAATCAGCTTATAGAACAACTCATAATTTTTAAATTTTATTTTACGTTAAAAGAAAACACTAAATATTTTATTTCCAAAAATTTATCAGAAATATCTGTACAAAATATATATTCAAAACTCATTAAAAATTTGTTTAAAGTAGGTAAGTATTATATTATGATGCATGAAATCATGTTTTTCACAAATATTGAACCACTGAATATTCAAAATTAAGTTTATAGGTTTATGTATTAGTTTACACGCTATAAGCTTTTTAAGTAAGTATATTAATACATTTTATAAAAAAATGAGAGTAAAAAAATTGGTGAAAAACAACGAATTAGAACAGACGAATTTGCCTACATATTTTACGAGCTTTAACTATACATAGAATCTAATAAATAATAATTGTTATTATATTGTAATTTATTATTTTCAGTAGGTATACACTAACACAATCAAATATATTTAACCTTCTGGCTCTAACATTTTAGTATCTATTTGTTCCTTGTTTGAGTTTTAGATAAATGTGTAGGTATAGGTAATGATTTTATTTGTTTTTTAATGAGTTATACTCCTATAAATCAATTAGCAAATAGGTAGTTACATAAATACAAACAAGTTTTTTTAACAAAATGGTCTACGATTTTTGATTTATTTTTACTGAACTATTGAATTAACAATGTAATTTTAAAAGCTCTTAGTCTAATATCCTATGTATACAGTTATTGTGGTTAGCAATTGCTAATTTCACGAAAATCATACAACCGGCAATAATATATTTTACGTACTTTACATATAAATTAAACATTTGTTAATATTCACTATTGATACTATAGCAAAATATTGGTGCTCATTGTGGCTTATATTATAAAATAAATAAACCGTACTGGTTAGAGATTAGATAAACGAGTTAACAAACAAGCGGGCTTCTATAAGTGTACGCATGCGCTGCGCCATGACGCACAAACAAGGGCGGGCCAAATAGATATTTAAATTTTAATGTAAAATTTAAAAAAGGGGATTTTAAAATATAAAAGTATAAAGTCGGGTAATGTTTTTATAATGTATACAGTTATGTACAACATCGGCTCGCACAATTTGTAATAAACTATTTTCTGTGATTAATTATGAATTTTTTGATTTCAAGAAGTAGTTGGGTATACATTCTACATACCACTTGATGTGTGGCTGATAGTATTTCTGTTATTGTCAAATGAATGGTCGTTTAGATGGTTTCTGAAGGATGCACTATATATTATAATAAATCCGGGTAAGGTTGGGTTAGGTAGCTACCAGATTGTAGGCCTCTAGTCCACACGTGCCTATAAACGCGAGGTAAGGGACACAATAGCATATTATTCGGGTGAGATTTGTTAAAAATTTTCGGAAAGAAAACGAGATGAGAAAAACTATTTTTGATAATTCGGTTCAGGATACTACAAATACTTTGACATGTTAAAAATAATATGATAAAATATGATTAATTGATAAATATAATGATATTATATAATAATAATTTCTGTGTAAACAAAACGGAAGTAACTTAATAATATATTATTATAGACCTTGCAGCCTGCAGTCTGCTTTGTATTGTAACGTCAACCAGTATACATAATATCTATCTAATTTCTAATAAATACATTATTATATTTTATCGTTTGAGTTTTATTAAATCTTCCATAATATACTCAACGTTGTAATACTAAAAATATGGTATTAAATCTAATAATCCTGTAAATAATATTTTTTTTGCTTTCTATACAATATTACCAAGGTCGTTATTTTCGGTTGGGGTCGTGCGGTATAACACATGTCCTGGATCTATTTTCGCAGGGGTCGATTCTGAGAATTCGGTTAACAGGTAGTTTATAGGGTATATAATTCATCGATACTTGAATAGAAATGGCCAAATAAAACGCAGTACCGATGTTTGAACGTAAAATACCAGTCTTGACACAAAATGTGTAGGTAATCCAGAAACGTTATAAAGAACATAAATATGTCTTCCTGACAGTATGAGACTAATAATTCCAAGGTATTACACGGTTGAATATTGTGTGTAATTTGTATTAAATCATTTTTGTAAAAAAAAAAAAACTACTCTTAAGATTTAGTATTAAGTTTTAAACGTGATTCGATAAGATTTTTTTTTATCCTTTGAGTAAAAATTGAGTACCTACGATTTTAGTAAAAACGAATTAATGTTTTTCGCCTTGCTAGACGACACGAGTTTTAAGAATAAAAAATAACAGTATAAAAATTTTAAGGAAACAATGTTTAACTATTCCAAAAAAAAGTAAACATTTGTGTAAACTAATAATGTTGGGCGAACCCCTAACATATTTGTTTAAACCAACTAAATAAAATATTTACTACTTACACAGATCAATTTTACATAGCTTACCTAGATACATTTGTATTCTGTTCAATATGTCTGGTCAACGACTACAGAGTAATTTTACCTTCTTTTGAAGCGATCGAACTTGTCACTGATTGCGCTAGTAAGAAAACGTTGGGTAATTTGATTAAATTCCTATTTTATTTCTACAGATATTATTTTATTATAATATTCATAGTGTGTGTATCCAGAAATGTATTTCGGATTGGATTATTGAAAATATTTAATAAAATAAAATAGCTATTTATAACTATGTACATAATACATCCTTATTGAATATAATTGCCCCAATTATAAAACATATACTATATTATAAGAATAACGGTTTTTTATAATAATTTAATTTAAGAAAGGGATGTAATCGTCTCCCTTCGGATACACCACTGTGTAAATTATTAAATTATAAATTTGCTTAAAATTAATTAAAAAAGAAAATATTTCTGGTTATAATCATAAAATATAATATAATATTATGTACTAATAAATCGTCGATTCTTTTGAATACTAATATCCTGGAATTCTAAGGAACTGGTAATTTTCAAATGTACACCAGCCCACTAGAAATCCCAAAGAATATCAGTTTCTAATAATTATTATACAATTTATATTTATATAATAGACTACATAAAAAAATAAAAAATAAAAAAATATATATATATATATATAAATAAATATTAGGTGGTAATCGAATAGTTTTGGATATTATGATAATGGCTGGAGTAGCCGAGGTTTTATAAAACAAAAACTATTATTATACATCAATTTAGTTCAGTTTACACTTCTTGACAGTTCGACGGTATGGTATATCACACCTCGTGGTACCTAATTCTCCCGTGGGATATTAAATATTGTTCCCACAGTGAATAAGTTACCTGAGGTATGACATGCGGGTTCTAACTTTACCGGTAATGTGGTTGACAGTAAATGGTACGTCTCGAAATATGATTGTACCGCGAGTAGTTTTAGGAAACATCTTGGAGTAGTTAAAACATCTTTACTAGATTTCTAATAATACACTAGTTAAAGACATTTTTTCCTACTCCAAAGACATCGCCTTCTCTTAAAATTACAAAAATATTCAGTTTAAAATTAACATTATGTATAACATTATATTTATACCTATGTAGTTATAAGTATATTGTACAGCCTAACTTGAAGATTATTTATGAAATTCCAAAGGCAACAAAAACATCTTTAGACTATTGTTAATCGTTTGCTAAAGACGTTGAGTGTTACCAATAGGCATCCTCCATAAAGTTGTCGATATGTCATACCGGCCGTAGAGATATCAAAATCCGGTATTTTGAAATTCAAGATAGCTGGTATTTTGAATTTGTAAAACCTGCTCTCTTAAATCCCAAAGAATACCGAATTCTGCCCAAGTGAAATTCAAGCAGACGGGTTTTCATTAGATATCCAGGGTACAGGATTCGCTTGGGATAATTTCATTTTACTTTCCCATAGCAAATCCGTTACCTTGAATTTAAAATGAAATTTTCTTAAAATTAAAATATAATTGGTTTTTTTTTTGACTCGTTGTTCAGATGATACACCATAGAGTAGTAAACATCTTTAGCAGAATATTAATATATATTGTTGACTAGCAAAAGACATTTATGCTACCCGAATGATTGTTCATCATTAAATCACGGCCGCGATACCGTGTAACATTGATAATAATTATTAAAAATATATTAAGATACAATAAAAACAAAAAACAAATATGAACTAACATTTGACACGTGATGTTGGCGGTATTTCAGTTATATTATAATTGTATACATTAAACTTATTACACGACGAGTACATGCATTGTGTAAACGAATATTTTAGGAAAGTTAAATATGATTAATATTAAACACTATAAAAGTACTATGCAGATCGGTGAAACCATCAGTTAGTAGTATAAATTCTAGTCACAGTTTTTTTTAAATCAATGTTACTGAGAATTATACTACCAGCCAACGATCTCTTTTACTAACTGATATTATTATTATGATACACTTAGATAAAAAATCACTTAAGTAATAATAACCGAATTTACCTTGTATACCGACTCTTGGACGGTCATGGCTGCTGCGGGCGGTGGACATTTCCATAGCATATCGCCGGTGACGCACAGGATTTACAAGGGCACAATCTTGTTCACTGTTTAACTGCTGGCACAACACTGGTCCTTGGAGCTGGCGCAAAGGACCTTATATTAAGACACGAAGGTCAAACACTAAGCGGTAGGGATGTTACTCTACCTGCAGTTGGTATTCAACGGCCGAATGCGATTTCACCCAAATGTGAAACGCTACCCAACACGTGGTAGGTATTTCACAAAACGGTCCGTTACCTAATGTTTTTTATTTTTATTTTGGAGGGTTGTCGCCGTGAAATTTAAATCTTTGTATGGCATGACAAAATAACAGGAAAAATGTCGTCGAGAAATACATTTTAAGAATAGGAAAGTAGACATTTAAATAAACCATTATAATATATCTTCATTTCGCGGTTTATATATTTAACTGATGAATAAAAATAAAAATAATAGTTATTAGCTATTGTCGATTTTCAAGAGCTTTCCGAAATAAAATACAAATTTGACAATGATATTTTGTTTATATTTTATCGGTATGTTGTAAATTATAGAAATTATTAGGTATATCAATAGGTCACAATATAGTGCCAATTAAAACTATATATGCTGTTAAAAACCCAAATTTTAAAGTTATTAATTATTGTCCTGTGCCCACGGGTATTAAACCCAAGTTTATTTTAATTTTTCGTTATAAATCCAAAATAATCACAATACAGTTGTGCTTTAAAAGTAAAAATCAACAGTGTTTTTGTCGGTTTATACAATATTTCTAGACTGGCTTGACCTATTTACTCGAGTAGCACATCACAATATTACCAAGAAGTGCCTTGGAGGATGTAAGGGAAAACATTTAAAAAATTTACACTCATTCTGTAGAAAAACAGAGACAACCAAATAATAAATTTAACAATTTTTATAAGAATTGGTCACATTAATTTTAAACTTATATGAGACATGTATTTAAACATTTTTATTCAACAATACCATTAAAACTAAATTACGTGAAATTCTAGGCATTTTTTAATTTTTTAGGTGGACATTTCTTAGTTAAGAGCTGAAAATAAAAATTAATATATAGGTATACAATATACACTATGTATTAATATTACTTTAGGTGTACTCGGGCTGTATAGTCATCTCATTGTCGCTGTATGGGCCTATCTCATACACGAGATAAGGAAAAAATATAAAAAATTAAAACCCACATTTCTCCCGTTGAATCGTGGTAAATTTTGAGTATAATTTTCTAAAGCGTTCAGACCCTTGGCGTCTGGGTAATTTTTTACTAAAATTTGAATACCTAGTTTCTTAGTTTTTTACTTCTATAAACTGTATATTATTTTAAATAATTATGTTAATTGAATAATGTGAATAGTTAAT